GTGCAAGTCAAGTGTGCTCGTGACAGGAAGAAGAAGAACTGAGGGTATTTTTTTTAATCATCACTATCATATGGTTCTTCAGTGTTCTGCTTTTCATAAACCAGTCTCAAAAGTGTTGTGGCAAATATTGTTTGTATTTGATTTCTTAAATTTAAACGTTGATATCCTAAGAACAATACTGGCATATGATATATACATATGATCTTATCAAAAAACAATTACTTATTTATTTGGTTATTTGTAAACTATTTATTGAATTTTTCCTTTTATTTTGTAGAAAATAACACATGGAGGAGCTGGTCAAGAGCAAAAAAAAAAACTATTCATATTATTTTCATAATTATTATTTTTTCTTTGATTCAATGTAAACTTATCACAAAAATTAAATGTACACATTCTTATAAAAAAAATTCTCATACCTAACATGCGTGACGTTTTAGAGATGTATACAAAGCACGCATGCTGTTTTCTAAAACAAAAAAAAATGACAAGAAAGTCCGACGTGGACAAGCGAATCTTAACAAACCAATAAGGTCCACTGAAACATGTGGTTGAGAAAAACAGCAGATAACTAACACTCGATCTGTTTCAGTTTGGTCCGAACAAAAATAAAAAATCTTGATTATTATTATTTTCTTCTCAATTCACCACCATTGACGATTAAGAAGAGAGCTATGGCGGCACCGATTGTTAACGCTGAGTACTTGAAAGAGATCAACAAGGCTCGTCGTGATCTCCGCTCTATCATCTCCAGCAAGAACTGTGCTCCGATCATGCTTAGATTGGCGTATGTTTCTTGTTTTTATTGGCTTTGGTGTTGAAAAAGGATTAGATCTTTGATTGTTTTTAAATGTTTTTTTGTGAAGATGGCATGATGCTGGAACATATGATGCACAGTCGAAGACAGGTGGGCCTAATGGGTCTATAAGGAACGAGGAGGAGTATACTCATGGTGCTAATAGTGGTTTAAAGATTGCTCTCGAACTCTGTGGTGTGTGTGTTTCTATGGTTTAAGAACACTGTTTAATATTAAACTTATTATGGTTTTGGAGTTGAGTAAGTTAAAGAGATTTGGGTTCTTTCATGTTTCAGAGGGGGTGAAAGCTAAACATCCTAAAATCACATATGCTGATCTATACCAGGTGATAATGATCTTTTAGCTTAAACTATCTTGTACTTGTTGATTTGTCTTCTCAGTTACTGCTTGCTGCACGTGTCTCATGTTTAAGCTAGTTTTGGAGACTAGGTTGATGGCTGAGATGTGTTATTATGGTCTCACTTTAGTTTTGCAACAGAGGAATGTCAATTTGTGTGAGGAGATGTCTGCTGAGTTGTTATCCTTTGCAGACTAATGACATTCAAGTTTTGTATTTGGAGAATTTACTTACTTGTTTAAACCATTTGTTTACAGCTTGCTGGTGTGGTAGCAGTGGAGGTTACTGGTGGACCTGACATCAGTTTCCAACCTGGGAGAAAAGTAGGTTCTTTTCATTTTCTTACCAGTTTAACACTTAAGCAAATAAAAATAACTAATGTGTTTCTATCTTATAGGATTCAAATGTTTGCCCTAGAGAAGGAAGACTTCCTGATGCTAAAAAAGGTTTCAATAGATAATTTTATATTATGGAAGATAATGATCTAGTTTCTCTATCAATTGACCCTGTTTGTTTCGTTTTGTTTTGTTTGTAGATTTCAAACATCTTAAAGAAGTCTTCTACCGCATGGGATTATCTGATAAGGATATTGTGGCTCTCTCAGGGGGTCATACTCTGGTAAACTCATCCGTTTTTTTTTTTCTCTAAACAAACTTAAACTTTTCCATCTGCTTATGACCAGATTTTTGGTGAGTTTAGGGAAGGGCTCATCCAGAGAGGTCAGGCTTTGATGGACCTTGGACTCAAGAGCCTCTGAAGTTTGATAACTCATACTTTGTGTAATCTCTCATTTCCTTATCCTCTGAGCTTAAATCTTCTTTGTTATTTTTGAATTATCAATGATTTTTGTTAACGTTTTGGTTCCAGGGAACTGCTCAGAGGAGAATCAGAAGGCTTGTTGAAACTTCCATCTGACCTAACTTTGTTGGAAGATCCAGAGTTTCGTCGTTACGTTGAGCTTTATGCTAAGGTATAAACTGCAAATCTTCTTTTGTCTCTTGAACCATTTGCTTCTTATGTTGGTGTGGTAAGTGCATAACTCACTTTGTGGTGACACAGGATGAAGATGCATTCTTCAGAGACTACGCAGAATCTCACAAGAAACTATCCGAGCTTGGATTCAACCCCAACGCCTCAGCGGCCAAAGCTTGTTCAGACAGCACTGTTCTAGCTCAGGGAGCATTCGGTGTTGCTATTACAGCTGCGGTCGTTGCCTTAAGTTACTTTTACGAGATCCGAAAGAAGATGAAGTAAAAGGGAGCCACGAAGCAAAAGATTTATCTTATCTTTGCATTAAAGAAACTATATTGTGTACTGCTGCTACAACTATGTTATAAACTCTTTAATCCACGATCATACACTATCTTGTAGTAAAAAGACTAAGTCAATGGTTTGGTTCATGACAAACGTTAGGGGCACTGAAAATGAATATATGCTAACAAAATGTTTTGTGGACATCTACCAAAGATCGGTCGATATCAACAAAGTGGGGTCACACACTCTGAAACTGAACCGAACGTGTTATGTTAGGTTAGGTTTGGTTAGGTAGGGAGCTTCTTTAAATGTTTTTATTTATTGTGTGACAGTCACCAACTAAATTGGCTTCAGATGGCATCTAGTGGATTGCGTCAATGAATAGGTTTTTCAAATTTTGTTTCTATTATGTAACTTTATGTTGTTGCCTACAAAAACTTTATTCTATGGAGTGTGAAGGTTTATATAACTTTTTTTTTTTAACAATGGATAACTATACTGTTACAAACTACGAGAAATGTTACAAACGATTCAACAGCCGATAATTCTATACATGTCTTATAAGGATTCACGAACACCTGACTACATCACTTGAGCCGCCCTATCGATCCACGCTTGACGGTACTCTTTGTGGCATACTGCAGATCTTTTATAAGCCATTTTTCCATTAATTCGCATAATTCCGTCTTTTCTGTGGCTAGAAACTCATACCTGTTGGTGTAGAAGTATTAATAAACTCTTAGTTAAACCACTGGACGACTAAGGGAGCTTCCATGTGAAGGTTTATATAACCTAAAAGAACATATCAAATAATTAAAAATAATAATAGACATTTTAGAATGTTAACAATTTTATTGAGGATAAATGGGAGATATCTTAGTTAGAATGTTGCACTCTGTATTGGTATTTGGTACCCACCACCACCCCCATTTTGGGTAATGTATACATTTGAAAGGTCGTATATGTAATATATAATGTACCTTTAGTTTAAGATTTGTTTGGTGTATGGACAACAAATCACATGTATACTATACTCTATCCAACTTCTTTATTGGTAATTCATTAAATACTCATGTCGGTAGGAGTTGAGAGTAAATGTACACCGGTAAATCTACCAAACTCTTTAAGATTGTCTTTCAGGTATCAAACAAACTCTTACCAATAATACTTTCCCTTTTCTAAAAAAGAACTCAAAACAATTTTTAAAAACCAAACTATTATTTGCCATGTTTTTGTCCATATCTAATTTTTAAAAACAGTCAAGAATGTTTGTTAGTTCGTCAAGAATGTTTAACACTAACTAAAATCAGTCATATTATTGACCTGACTTTAACACTACACAAATCTTTCGTTTAAAAAAAAAATTAACATATACATATGTTACATTTTACAGACTATTTGATAGAGTTTCAACTTTCAATCTAATGATTTACACCATGATAGGCTTGTGAAAAGCGTTTCTCAAGAAACCATGTTGTTAGAATTAGTCGGATTTTACAGTAATAGTATTAAGAAACCATGTTAATGACAAAACATGTTTAAAGGATTTGTATATAATAGTTAGGAAAGCAAAAAAAAAATGTAAATCACTAAAGGAAAAGGATAAAGCAGGTATAAATCCACTCTGTATTTTCATTTAACATTACAAACTCCACACTGTGTTTCTTAATGACACATAAAGTTCTGTCTTGGTCCGGTTTTGCTAATTACTTGTCAAATATACATCAAGAGTAAGAGTTTTGGAGGATATGTACATTGTATGAAATCCACAAGACAGGCAAAGCTTTTATTTATCACTACCTTTGATAACAAAAATGGGATTTATTTTAACTAAATTATCTGAGTAATGCTACAAAACGATCCAAGTAAAGTATAAAGAAATCATTAACATGTTTTTTTAGAAACCCCTAACTAACTCTTTTAAACTATTGATTTTGATATTCTACTTTGGATGCTCTTTACAATCTCTTCAACAAACTCACTATGCTGAATTCTATTTTATATTATTGTAACATAAATTCCCATAACTCGATGCAGTACGAAACCATCACACATTGTCTTGTGCTTTGCGATAAGACATTTCATACCAAATTAATCAAGTGGTAAACTTGCAATAATGTGGTAAAGTCCTTTGAAAATGGAACCCCTCCCCCATTTAAACAAATATTATATTCTTGCTCAAGATTATTAATAATAATAATAATACTATGAGTTAGTTGTCTCTTGTGTCTTGTCTGCAATTTCTCATATTGCCATTTCAAAGTTCGAAAATGTCTATAAGTTATATGGTCATGGTTTCACACGCATACAGACATACTAGTCTAAGTACAGTTTAAATGCGTTTTCCCATTGAGATTGTGAACAAGATCGTATGAATATTATAATATACAGTTTTGATATATAAGAAAACAAAAAGAGAAACCAGAAACAGAGCCCACTAGCCACTCCTTCAAACGTGTCTTACCAACTCTCTTCTAGAAACAGTTCAGTCTTGTCCTCACCTTCCTCTCCTCCAACCTCTCTCTCTCTCTCTCAAAACATATCTCCATAAAACCCTAACTTCATCATAACAAGACCATCACCACAAAGACCATGGGGAGGTCTCCATGCTGCGAGAGAGACCACACAAACAAAGGAGCTTGGACTAAAGAAGAAGACCATAAGCTCATCTCTTACATCAAATCTCACGGCGAAGGCTGTTGGCGTTCTCTCCCTGCCTCCGCCGGCCTTCTCCGCTGCGGTAAAAGCTGCCGTCTCCGGTGGATTAACTACCTCCGTCCTGATCTCAAGAGGGGTAACTTCACCCTAGAAGAAGATGATCTCATCATCAAACTACATAGCCTCCTTGGAAACAAGTAATACAAACCTTTCAACAAAATCCTCTGTTTTTTTCTTTGTATGCTCTGTTTCTCATGCTCTGTTTTTCATACTCTGTTTTTTAACTTTTCAGGTGGTCTCTGATTGCGACGAGGTTACCGGGGAGAACAGATAACGAGATTAAAAACTACTGGAACACACATGTAAAGAGGAAGCTTTTGAGAAGAGGGATTGATCCCACTACTCATCGGCCGATCAAAGCTCGTCGAGAAACGTCTGAATCTAAAGAAACAGAGGACTCGCTTGTGAAGGTTCTCTCTTTTGGTTCTGATTTGGAGAAAGAGGAAAGTTTTGGGGAGGAGAGAAGGTGTCAGAAGAGTCTGACTTGCCAAAAAGAGAGCTTAGATTTGAATCTTGAGCTTAGAATCAGCCCTCCATGGCAAGCATGGCAAGACCAACAGCAACGTGATGAGACAAAACTCTTGTTTGGGAGAAGGAAGTATCTCTGCAGTGCGTGTCGTTTTGGGTTGGGAAACGGCAAGGAGTGTAGCTGTGGTAATGTGAAACGTCAGATAGAGGAAAGTAGTAGTAGCAGCTACTCTTCGAGCGATATTAGTAGTAGTGTTGTTGGTTATGACTTCTTGGGTTTAAACACTAGTGTCTTTGATTTTACTAGCTTGGAAATGAACTGAAATGAAAAATACTAAAGAAGATTATTGAAAGCTCTGATATTAAAAACTGAACGTATTCTTATCTTTTCTAATTTCATCTTTACTCGACATGAATCAAAAATATAACCGTGGCCTTAGTTAAATACAAATCTTTTATAGGTCATAGATTCATGCTACTCTATTCAATGATGTGCAATTTTTTTGTTTATAGTCTACTACAAGATATCAAACATTTATAAGTTTTTCTTAGTCAAATATTAGGGTTTAATGTTTACCCGACACGAGATATATCCCTAGTGCTTTTCTTACTCTAAATTGACATCTCCTGGAGTAACTAGGGACAACTTAAAAGCCCAACCCATGCTTGGCAATTGTCTTTGGTTATTATTCTCAAGAGATTTGACAGTTCAAGAAAGAAGATAAGCTATGTAAGGATGATAATTTGAGAACGATGGAGAGGGTGTTTACTATTATTGGTGCATGTTCCTATTCATTACAACCTTTCGTTTCATCAATTATATATACAAATACTATAACACATACAATATGTTAGTACAGTAACACATACAATATGTTAGTACAGTGACTTCACCAAATGAAAGTTTGTTTCACTCTAATAAACAATGTAGAATTTAACGAGAAGGATTACACATCACCCTATGTTACGAATAATATCTATGACATTGGTATATATGGTGTTGATTTTTTCAAAGACTTTTCAGCTTTACAATTAAATAGCGGCCACACAAAAGAAAAGGTAGATAGATCCTAAACAGAACTGTGTGTATGTATAGTACTTTTGCATTATGCTTGTGATATCGATGCTTCTAAAAAGTTTCTCATAGATACATAAGATACATGGAATAGTGGAATATGAGAAACACGTCAAAGATCAAACGATATAAAAATGGAGGATTAGTGTGCAGATTGTATGATTAAGATTTGAATAAATTACATTTTGTAACTTGAACTAATTCGATCGATTATGTCAGGAATTTAAATCCATGAAACTTACGATAATAGGTTAAAAAGGTCGACAATAATAAAAGTTTTCCCCTTCGTTAACACTTGTATACATCACAAGTTGACACATAAACATTTCGTATTGTTTTAAAATCACGATTACAGAACTTTGATGGCTCGAGATATCAAACAAAACATTTAAAACACTTATGTGAACAAGAAAGTCATATGTTTTGGTTTGGCCTACTACAAACTAGCAGCCCAATGATAGCTCCTATGGGCTTTTTATATTGGAACTTTCTGCTAGGTTCGTGGTCATATGTGTAACCAACAATCCTAGTGTCTGACTACAAATTAAATGATAGCAGAAGCTGGTAGTGGTATGTATAGCCGTTGTGATTTACAGTCGACGAATATAGTAATATTAAGGATCGCAATTTCTGATGGCCTTGCTTTAGTGTCCAAGTGCTGCTGACTCTCTGCTCAAGTCCGCTCCTCTTCTCATAAAATATAGATATACAAAGAACAGGAATACATGTCATAACACTTTAAAAGTCTGCTAATAATATAATGATTACTTAACTTTCTGGTGAAGGAATCAACAGCTTTGCAACCTGTTAGCAGTAGGCACAGAATGTAATGAGTTTATTGAAAAAATCGACCGTTAGAAGTGGATCGTGTATTATAGTCACGGTGATTTCATATGCATGTGATCACCTCTTTTCTGGAGAAAAAAGCAAAAACAAGAAAAGGTAACTTCCGCAGTTCCAATGTCCTCAAAGATTAAATAAAAAGAGAAATATACACTTAGTCCTACTATGGTATGACTCACTTTCCCAGTATCTCAGCAAAACACTGTCGTTTACAGCAACACTGTGTGCCCACTGCCCAGAGTCCCACCTATCACATTAAAGGTAATTAAGAGATTAAGCGAAAAGATTAGTTCTCCATCAAATCACATTGCCAATTACATACCGGTTTTCAAGATTTTTTTGTATCGGGAAGAATTATGTTTTCGTAAAAAGAGAAGAAATTAATTAAAAATGTATTCTTTGATTTATTAATCATATTATTTGTCCAGAATCATACAAGCGACATGGTACTAGGAATATTTTTGCAGGATAATTATCCAGTGTGATTAATAAAGTAATTAGATTTTATTAAAAAAATACAAAAGAAAATAAAATCATTACTTTTTCCTTTATATTGATCAGACAAGCACCAATGTCGGTAAAACCCCACTCACTTCACTCTCTCCACTTCCCCCCATGGCTTCCCCTATCATTGCTCTCCTCTTCTTCTTCCTCTCTCCTCCGTTCACCTCCGCCGCCACTCAAGCCGCGAAAACCTTCATCTTCCGCGTCGACGGCGGATCCATGCCGTCTATCTTCCCGACACACCACCACTGGTACACCTCCGAGTTCACCCAAGAATCCTCCATCCTCCACGTCTACCACACCGTCTTCCACGGCTTCTCCGCCGTGGTCACTCCCGACCAAGCCGACAACCTCCGCAACCACCCTTCCGTCCTCGCCGTCTTCGAAGACCGCCGCCGGGAGCTTCACACCACCCGCTCCCCTCAGTTCCTCGGCCTGGAGAACCAGAAGGGACTCTGGTCCGAATCAAACTACGGCTCCGACGTAATCATCGGAGTCCTAGACACCGGAATCTGGCCGGAGAGAAAAAGCTTCTCAGATCTAAACCTCGGTCCAATCCCAAAACGCTGGAGAGGGGTTTGCCAAACCGGAACCCGGTTTAGCCCCAAGAACTGTAACCGTAAAATCGTTGGCGCGAGATTCTTCGCCAAGGGACAGCAAGCGGCCGTTATGGGAGGGATCAACAAAACGGTTGAGTTTTTATCCCCACGTGACGCGGACGGTCACGGGACCCACACGGCCTCAACGGCCGCGGGGCGCCACGTGTTCAAGGCGAGCATGTCGGGCTACGCCTCTGGTATCGCCAAAGGCGTAGCCCCCAAGGCTCGCCTCGCCGCGTATAAAGTCTGTTGGAAAGACTCCGGCTGCCTCGACTCCGATATCCTCGCCGCGTTCGACGCCGCCGTGGCCGACGGCGTCGACGTGATCTCGATCTCGATCGGCGGCGGAGACGGGATCACCTCGCCGTATTATCTCGACCCGATCGCGATCGGGTCGTACGGCGCGGCGGCGAGGGGGATATTCGTGTCGTCCTCCGCCGGAAACGAGGGGCCTAACGGCATGTCGGTTACGAATCTCGCGCCGTGGGTGACGACCGTCGGCGCCGGAACGATCGATCGGAATTTCCCGGCGGATGCGATTCTCGGCGACGGACATCGCCTCGGAGGAGTGTCTCTCTACGCCGGAGCTCCTCTTAACGGACGGATGTTCCCGGTGGTTTACCCCGGGAGCGCGGGAATGTCGTCGGCGTCACTGTGCATGGAGAATTCTCTCGATCCGAAACATGTGAGGGGTAAAATCGTAATTTGCGATAGGGGGAGCAGTCCACGTGTGGCGAAAGGATTGGTTGTGAAAAAAGCGGGAGGCGTTGGGATGATCCTCGCTAACGGCGCTTCTAACGGTGAAGGATTAGTCGGTGACGCTCATTTAATCCCAGCCTGCGCCGTTGGATCTAACGAGGGAGATCGAATCAAAGCCTACGCTTCTTCCCATCCCAACCCGGTCGCTTCAATCGATTTCAGAGGGACGATAACCGGGATCAAACCGGCTCCGGTTATCGCTTCTTTCTCAGGGAGAGGACCGAACGGATTAAACCCGGAGATTTTAAAACCGGATCTGATCGCTCCGGGGGTTAACATCCTCGCCGCGTGGACAGACGCTGTAGGGCCCACAGGCTTACCTTCAGATCCACGTAGGACGGAGTTCAACATCCTCTCGGGTACATCGATGGCGTGTCCTCACGTGAGTGGAGCAGCGGCTTTGCTTAAATCCGCCCATCCTAATTGGAGCCCCGCTGCAATTAGATCCGCGATGATGACTACAACTAACCTCGTGGATAACTCTAACCGCTCGTTAACCGATGAATCCACGGGAAAATCGGGTACGCCTTACGATTTCGGGTCGGGTCATTTAAATTTGGGCCGGGCGATGGATCCGGGTCTGGTTTACGATATAACAAACGACGATTACATCACGTTTCTATGTTCGATCGGTTACGGAGCGAAAACGATTCAGGTGATCACGAGAACGCCGGTGAGATGTCCGGCGAGGAGGAAACCGTCGCCGGGGAATCTGAATTATCCGTCGATCACGGCGATGTTTCCGACGTCGAGGAGAGGGACGTTGAGCAAGACGGTTGTGAGGACCGCGACGAACGTGGGGCAGCCCGGGGCGGTTTACCGGGCGAGGATCGAGTCGCCGAGGGGAGTGACGGTGACGGTGAAGCCGGCGAGGCTGGTGTTTAGTGTGGCCGTTAAGAGACGGAGTTTTGCGGTTACGGTGACGGTTGATACGAGGAGTGTGGTGTTGGGGGAGACGGGAGCTGCGTTTGGGTCGGTCACGTGGTTTGATGGTGGGAGGCACGTGGTTCGGAGCCCCGTTGTGGTGACCCAATTAGATGTGTTGTAAAAGAATCCGGGTCGGGTTTTTGGATGATCAAGCGGTCATGATCGTGTTTAGTAATAACTGCTAGAACTATTTTTAGTTTAGTGGGCTTTTTTATATTTTAATGTTTTTGTGTTTTTTTTTTCTGAATGAGACTTTCATCTTATCTTTTTTTTTTAAATACGTATGAAAAATATCAGATGATGTCCAAAACTCATCGTTATTATTGTACTACAACGATTAAAGACCACAGATCTATAAATATGCCAGACATTATGATAGAAGATGATTGATTACGACATGGGAAAGACAAAGATGATTGAGTTGTGCAAAGTGGCAAAACTATGGAGATATACGTATGTGTTACGCTTTGACGTTTATTTGAGTTCCCACTTGAATCCCCACTTCTTTGCTTTGGTTTATTTGACTGTAGATTTTGCAGGATCTAATCATGTTATATGAACAAAAGTCTATAGGCTTTGTATAGCTACCACAACAAAATAGTTACTGACACTAGTCACTAGATTTTATAATATTATGCACTTGACTAATCACATTTGTAAATTAAAGTGTATCTTTACTTATATGATTTATAAGATTGAGATGTAATAATTTTCTCTTCATCAATGATTAGTTAGTTTGTAAAGTGTAGTTGGATTTGCTAGTCGAACGAATGAATAGTTTGATATTAGAACAGTAAACAACTTAATTAGTTAACATTAAGTCCATACCACAAATTATAACAAAATAATAATAAGTTAATAACTACTCATTTTTGTAGTTAGCGTGACCGAAACAGTTTATTATCTTGTAATATATTGCACAGCTAATAGAATATTTGTCGCATGTTCATTCACATGTACAAACAAACCTGAAAATCAAGTCCGTAAACCAAAAATGGTGGTTGCAGTTCTTTGCAGTACTCAAATGCTATCTACACTCTATATCGAAGGTGTGAAAGTTCGTGTTAGAAATGGTAATAATTCATGAACTGATGACAAGAAATTCATTTACCATGCGTGAGCAAAGAATGAGATGTAATAGGGACTGGAAATTAACACACACATTCAAGGATGGACCTAATTCTGTAGTCAGTAAATGAAAACCTTGTTTCAATAAATTTCCCATGACTATATCAACATCCAACTAACCATTTGATATTTTTAGACATACAAACAAGTTACACTTTTAAAAGCAGTCTAGCCCATTTGTCTTTGAATTAAAAAAATGTATATAGACTGAAAAATATAGCCGAGCCATTGTAAGAACACATCTATCAAATGGCTGAAAATCACTTATTTGTGAGATGGAAACTTAAAATTTAATTCGTGTACTTTTACACTTGCAACCTTGGGTCCATTGTTACAGCAAGTATCATCGATAAAATTATTATTCACATAATTATATATATAAAAGCAGAACTTTTTCAACCGTAAAAGTTGTAAGCTTTTCTAAAGAAGGGGACATTTCATATCATATGGTTTGTTTATTAAGCTAAAACCTACTATAAAGTAAAATTAAAATTTAATACTACTAAAAAGTTGACAAAAAAAAAACTATATACTAAACACTTTTCCTGGTATAAATATATAATTTTAATGTTGTGTCTCAACTGAAATAGAAAAGCTACCTAAGTTTGAAATCATTAAAGGGTGTTTTTTTTTTTGCCATCTTATAACTTCATTAAACCAAGACAAGGATTACAAGAGGAGGCCTATAAAAGGCTACAAAACAACGAAGATTAATGATTAAAGGGTGTTTAGTATGTTGACTACTTATTTACTAAGGAAACAAAAATTCTAAAATGATGAAGCGCATGTAACGGTGAATTGGGATTAAAGACTTGGAAAAGTTAAAAGTTCTCTCCGCAATCAACAACGAAGATTTCATGATTTCGAGGTGAAAGTCAGTCGGTCCCAGCAAATATGCGTAGATGCTTTTCTAGATATTTTTGTCCGGTCAAAAAGGTCAAAAGTAGGAAAAAACAGTTGCTTTCGTTGAGAGTTGAACTCAAGACCTCCCGCTTACTAAACGGGTGCTCTAACCAACTGAGCTACGAGAGCACTTTTGTTCACATAGTATTGATAAACAATTTTTAATATAAAAAATTAATATACTTGCTTTTTTTGGTAAAGTTTGGGCCGAGAAACAAGAAAACTCAATTAGAAAATTTGTTTTTCCAACTATCCTACTATATTCACTATTCTTTCTTCAGAAATAATAAGGATCCATTAGAAAATTTGGATCGTGTAAGATTGTGAGGTGTACCAATAAATTATGCAAGTTTAGTAAACTCGGTTTGTTCAATGTCCACAAATCAATTAGTAAAAGTTTTGTAAACGTAACATTCAAGCAAATATTGTCTGCAACCTATCATCATACTCGCCACTCATAATTCATGTTTGTAATTTTAATCTCCTTCTCTAAGCACCATTGTAAAGAAAATTAGTCTCACTCTTTTTCATAATTATAAGACCATTTAAATTGTACTTCCAGTAAAATTGGTCACACATGACGTTCAAGTTAAGCACTATCATGCTTTGCTTGAATGATCTCAATCTCATCACAACTATATCTTACTATCATTAGTTCCAATACAAATTCAGATAAACTTAGGCTTTTTATTATCAGTAGCGACAAAAGTGACAGAAATAACATTCAACACTTACACTAACATAACAGCAACAGAAACATTAATAGCCATAGAACTCTTGTCAATAAAACACAAATACGGAGTTAAGTACTACTAAACAACTATAACTAACATTATTATAGAATTAGACATCAATAACTGAAGCATGTAACTCCGGTTAAATAGAATGTATAATTATTTGGTCCGGTCCTGTATTTTGTCAAATCCCATCTCGGTTTGGTCGGTGGCTTGAAACTCATAGTGAATGCCTTCCAACACTCTCCTCAGCCCACTCTTCGACGTTGCGTACATCATCTTTTCCCTTATCCTCGACGCCTCGGGCGACCTATATATTCCCACAACAACAAAAACAATACGTTTTAACGCTTGTCCGGTTTGGTTCGGTTCAGATGGGATTTACGGTTTAGTTCGGATTCGGTTTAGTCTAAGAAGAAAACTAAAACACTGACCATGTAATGAAGAAGAGCTTGCTCATGCGGCAGTTATCGACTGTGACGTAGTCAAAATCAAACACGGCGTAGCGACAGTCATTTTCCGGCAAGGAAGCGGCGAGATCGTGATAGCTCTCGCCGGCAGCACCGACCTTGTCTACGGTGACTTTCGTGGATTTCTCCTCGATCTTGAAAACGATGTATCTATGCACTTTCTTCCACTTCATCTCCATGAATGATCTCTTGCACTCCTCCGTCATCCACATACCATTCATCGACGCCTATTATACCATTTTATTATAAATTATGACGTCAAAATGATAAAGTCATAAAGAATATGATTATTACCGTCTTCAAAGCCATGGTGAGTGTTGCTGAGCGAAGTTGGTATCTTCTTTATCTTCTTCTTTCGTTAATGTTTTGAATGTCGAGCTTTGTTTTGATAATGTGCGTTATGGGGAGTGTAATTTGGAGACTTTATATAGAGAAATGCTTAAGTAAATGCCATTAGGGGTCTCTTTAATTACAAAATTACCACCCTCTGCGACTGGCAGTTGTAAGAATGTTAAACAGGTTGGTCCGTCACATCCGGTTCGTACCGCAGCGGGCTCGCTTTCTCGCGGGTCAAGACGGGCCAGGCCTGCGGGTTGCAGTCTCCAGAAGGTCGGTCCAATCCCGCCCCGCCAATATGCACAGTCCTTTACAGGTCGTCCCACAGACTTAACGAAATGCAAAGTGGGTGTGTGTCATGCGAAGTGATTCATCATCCAGGCTCCTGAATAACGAAAAGAAACACTCTGATTGATTATTATAGATACCCCAATATACAATGTACACAACTCTTATTTGGTGAAACTGATATCCAAACTATACTATGTATCACTAAAATCTACGTTTTGTTAATCTCTACACCTCTTATTTGTAGAAGTTATGTCTATGACATCTTAGGAATATAGAGCTAGTGATAACACACTTCCACTATACAATGTATCCTAAAATCTACGCTTTGTTCTGCGGGATTCCAAATCCTCGGCTCAAACCCGCAAGGCGCAAGCCTTAACGAGCCCAACCCGCAGTCCAACCCCTCCCTTGACATTCCTACTCCTAGGCACTTGGTGTATTTTTATTTTCTCAAATGTATTTAGTTTAGTATAGAATTAGTTTCAGTTTTTTTAGTCTAGTATTCTACAGTTTTTTTTTCATGAAAATTGTAGTTAAGAATACCAATATAGTTCTTCTTTCTTTCACTAAAATACCAATGTTAAAATTTACTGATTCCTTCTTTTAAATTTGAATTGTATGGTTCAACCATACAATTCATGAATGCTAATTAATGTGCTGATGAAAATATCAACTTGGGATATAAACTTATCATCAGAAGATTATCATCAATTGGGAATGTCACCTATTAAATTTAAACCATGTCAACTGTTCTTATTTTTTTCGTCTATACCAAAAATTAATGGTTTCAACTTTCATTAGCTATTGGTCAAAGAAAACTTCAATTAGCTTATATCTTTATTGCTAATAGTGCATTTAGTTTATATACAAAATGATCAGTTAACTAGCCACAAGAAGAAGGACGTGAGGGATCGAGATAAGCTGGTCCCAAATAGTAAAGGTTGGATTCCGTGCCTACATCCTTCATTGGTCTCTCCAATTTTGTGATACTCAAAACTCAAGTGACCCTTTGCGTGAAAGATAAGGAATGAGACATGAGATGGTTTTATATATTATTTGGATCAAAATTGTTTTGACTCATTGACTAGTAAGAGGATAATAGTAATCATGTTTGGAAACTTGAAACTTAGTCTTTTTGGGATGAACAACAAAAACGTGAAGCAATAATTATAAACTTCAACTTGATCATGATCAGTTTTATACAACTCGTGTTACAAGTTATTTAGTCCAGCTTACATGGTTTTCAGTTCAATATTGATCGTAATATTTGGTGTCGGTAAATAAGAGATTCACATAATATGACCAAAAAAATACGTTCAAAGCCACTACACAGTCCCCGAAAGAAATCTGCAGTCCCGAGGTCTCTTGGCTTCCAATGAAATTGTCCATAAACATGCATGGTATATTCCAATGGCTTTCGTGAATATGAAAATATATTTAGCTATAATAAATTTAATAATAAATTTAGCTATAATTATTAGATAGATTATGGATACATGATTATCTTATCTAAGTACATGAACGCATGTTTGCATGGACCCCTGCCTGTTTTTTGGGCAAACTTAGTGTACTTACATAAGTTCAAACAGTTTGACGGAATTATGGACCATGCCTGTTATTATTCGGAGCTAAAAGTAAATAGACCAAAAAAATCTCAAACACTAAAATCAAACGCATAAGGTTGACGGTACTAACAGTTATTGCTCCCATTGTTCTATTTCAACTAAATTTCAACCTAATTCGATATCTTTAGATTGGATAAGACTCTGTCGTATAAGATTTAACAAGTATGTAATTAACTTCAGAAATAAATTTAGTTCACATTATAAGTTTCAAAGGCAGAATATACATATGCATTTCCATCTACATTAAAATATACTATTCGTCCACAAATACCAAACCTAAACGATTTCTTTGCAAAAATAACACTATTGTAATGCATAAAATGTCAAAACAAGCAAACACTCAAGGTCTAAATCATCAAAAAGTTATTGAAACAATCACACGCATTGAGGGGACATAAATGCATAACCATGTTTGTATAGATTTGTGGATAACAATCTTACAATAGCCCACATATGAGTTTTGATGTGGTGTAAGTAGATAATAGCCTTATCATGTGGCTATCTATATATATATATATGTGTGTCTAAATGATTTCAATTGATTAATATCTGCTTTGCAGTTTGTTTTTGGGAAAGTTTTGTTTGTAACATCTGGTGGCTTGTCTTCAAAAGTTGTTCAATAGTTAGGCTTTGACTTGTTGCGCCAATACTTGCGTTCATTTCTTCCTGTATTTCACCATGCCATGCTTTCATTTTGCTAATGGGCCTAAAACAACGAATAATGGGCTACAATATTTTTTCATTTTTGAGCTCGGTCAAATTTAATGGGCTTTTATTTCAACATTAAGGGATCCTATGCATTTGCACGTTAATTTAATTGGCGGGAGAGCTATGGCGATGGCGAATATGGGAAGCGCTGATTCTCAAACTCCGATTCAGTCTTCTTCGTCTCTCTCTCTCTCTCTATCTCTTTCGTATTTTTTGAATTTATCTTTTATTGATATTCGATGTGATGTAAATCAAAAACAGAGAAGACAACCGTTCGTCGTCGCAGATCAAGCGGATCCCGAAGAGAAAGCTTGAGGATTACTTGGATCCAGCTCTTCTTCGCGCGATCTCTTCCAGGATCGGTCTAACGGAGAAGAAGAAGAAGAAGGAGGTCGTCGTGAGTTCGATTCAGGGAGCGGAATTCGATTGGCCTGTTGACCGATTAGATCCTCTAATCAACGATCCGAATCGCGATTCCGGGAGAGAGTACGACGGATCACGGTTCTTTTCTCCGATCATCTCGTCGTTGAGCAAACGCCGTTGAAGCGAACGATAACAAACACGGCGCAGGATAGTAGAGTTCGTTACTGTGGTAACGTGCGCGGAAATTTGCATAGGAGATTCAAACACGTCACCGTTTTTTTTAAACAGTTTAAAAAAAAAAAAACAGAATGATGTAGAGAACAAAGCTTTCAAACAAAAAATGCAAAACAAGCTTAACTCTAAATAATATTTGATATAATAATCTAAAATCAATATATATATAGTAGTTTTGAGTTATAAGAATGTCTATATCACCAATGTATATACAGAGAGCTTCATCAAACAAAAAGGGAATGTTCATACTAGAGAGTGAAGCTTCTTTGTCATGAATCAATCTCTTCACAGTCTAGATTTTGCTTCTGGTAGAATCTCAATTATTGTTGTTTATTTGAAATATAGTTGTTAGAGATTATATATATAAAGGTCCAATACTCACCTAAATGATAATATACAAGGCAAGTAAATATACAGTCAAATCATAGTATGTTAACTCTTTTCATAAATGTGAATTATTTTTAGACTATGGAAGATTTAATCATCTCTTTAGATTCATATCTTATTATATGCATTTCTTTCTCTTTATCTCTCTGTTGAAATGACTATAGAGCAAAATGGGTTTTTGTTTCTTGAGCCTCAAGGTAAAACCAAACCCTATCAATCTTCACTTTCTTGCTCAAACATCAAGGTTTCGAGCAACGATGCCTTCAAAAGTAACACCAGGTCCAAAAGCCAGAATCAAACCCCACTCATTTTCACCTTCATTCATATTCCTCACTTTCCTGCTCTCCTCCAACATATACTCCAACACATAAACAATCGAGTTGCTACTTGCGTTGCCATAATCCATGAGAGCTCTTCTACTTGGACTCAGCTTCTCAGGCGACAAGTTAAGCCGCTTTTCCATCCGGTTCAAGATGGCTGGTCCACCTGGATGAACCGCCCAAAACATCTGGTTATAGTCTTTATGAGCCAGTCCTGCTTTTCCTAATAGCTTCTTGCAGAAACTCTCCACGTTGTCTTCTATTATCTGTGGAAGCTCTCTTGAAAGTGTGAAGTATATTCCTGCTTCTGTTAGCTTACCATCTATAATCTTCTCCGTGTCTGCACCCATGAAAGTGCATATTAATCCCAAAAACATAGTTTAAAAAAAAAGATCTAAAAAGATATTTAAGCATTTTTAAATTAATTTGAGTTTAAAATTTTGATAATTTGAGAACAGTTGTATATATATAATAGTTTTTTAATAAAATTGGATTCAAAGAGAATGTTATATTTTTCTATAAAAATTAATAAAAGAGCCAAAAAAATATTCTATATAAACATATTTTTGGTTTCAACATAAATTTTAATAAAAAGGTATTTATAATATTTTTAAAAATACTGATTAAAAACTTAAAATAAATATTTAAATTGAGGGCTCAATTTTCTTTTTATAAGGCAAGTTTTGTAGTTTTACAAGGCAAGAAGTTCTGAATAGCAGTGTGAAGCTCAAAGAGTGGCTTCTCACTAATCGGATCTGGATCCGACCCGATGATCATAGCTCCAGCTCCATCACCAAACAAAGCGACCCCAACAAGATCATACGGTCTATCTTTACTCGGGGGTTTGAAACCAATGATAGTCGTCTCTGACGTGGCAAGCAAGACTCTACTCCCCGGATTGTTCTCGGCTATGTCTTTCGCTACACGGAGACCCGCAACGCCTCCAGAGCAGCCAACGAAGTAGATCAGAACACGGTGCGTCTCGGGGCTGAGACCAAGCCCTTTGGCTAAGAACAGGTCGCCTCCAGGAAGACGAGCTTCGCTTGAAGAGACATAGACAAGGTGAGTTATGTCGGAAACAGATTGGCCCCAGTTCTTGATGCACGATCTTGAAGCTTCCACTGCCATTTCAGTTCAGGGTCATCACAGTTGGTGGTTTTGAAGTAGCCATCGACCAAGTACTCTTGCATCACTAGCTGGTGAGGAAAGGCTTTACCGATAGCAAGAATGGTCGCTTTTCCTGGGTTTGGTTTCTTCTCTGAACACATCTCTGTGGCATCAATGCTCCCCATTTTAATCTTGTTGTGTCTGGAGAAAAGAGTCAAAGTTAACGCATATATATATATATATATATATATATATATATATATATATATATATATATGTACTAAGGCCTTTTGCAGTTTATGACCTGCGTTTTGTGCAGTGTGTTCTGTCTAGTTGATATTTGGTGAAGATTTGGGTGTGAGATTTAGAAGCTTCATGTTTACTGCATTGGCTCTTTCTAGAACTCTCTTTAAACTTAGCTTAATTAAAAGATATTTGAGCATAGCCAACACAAGAGTGTGTGATTTTAAACTTCAAAAGAATGGTCAGATAAGCTAACTTAAGCTTATTACTATTATAAGCATGGTTGAATACTAGTTGGTCTGAGAGTTCTTATTTTCCTGTAATCTAAGCCTTAATAATATATATGAGTATTAATTATTATTATTTTTACTCTTTTTTGAAACGTCAACTGTTTCTTTTTTAATCAAGGACGCCAACTTTTTTGTACTGAATTGTTGATGTAAATAAGCAACTCCATCAATGGTATCAAAAGGGAGTTTTCAAATTTCAAGGATTGATTAGTTGCTAACTAAAACAAAAAGGATTAATGGGGTTCTAATACCCATCAATCACTTTTACTTTTACTTTAATTAGTAACTAATCACTTTTTGAGAACCCCACTTTCATACCATTGATATGGATGCTCCAGAATCACTAACATAATCACTGTAACAGCCTTCCAGGTATTAGAATACTTGTAACTTTCAAGTCTTAACGAATAAACCCACTTAAAAGTTGAAACATCAGTATATACTCCAATACTATTTTGATTAACATTTAAAACAAGTAATTGTTTTGTTTAGCTAGGCAGCAAAGAAAATAATCATCTTGCTGGTTTGGATTCCTCAAAATGTTTGTTACTTACATTTAATTATGAAATTTCTCTTCAGTATAAATATATGATGTGGATATAATCTTAATCTGTAGTTAGTTAAGAACTTAAGACTATAGACTTACATAATTTTTTTTCTGATTCTCCATGTTCAACAAAAACATAATAATACATGGGAAAAAGAAACGAAAGATACATCCTCTATCTCAAGAACGAATTTGTAAGATCTCTATAAATACAATTCTACTAAAATGAATCAAACTTCACTTATTGAAACCGAGAGGCGATGAGATCAATAAACACTTCTTCTCTACATGGAATGGTCAAGCCACCCATTGGATGATTGAATCCAAACTCTTCCTCTGCTCGACTAAGGAATTCTCTGAAGGAAGGATCATTCAGAAACGTAATTGGAACCACAAATCTCTTCTTCTCCTTCTCAATCTGTTCGCCAACGTACACTGCCATATGCCCTTTAGGGACATGATCCGATGATGATGATGTTCGGTTTCTGTTTAGCTTCAATATCTGTTTTGTTGCATTTGTGATCGCAAAACGGCTCAAACCCATCTTTGTTCTTGCTTTAGGACCAAAGATGTTCAACGAATTTTTTCTTTGAAAGTTTTTTTTTGTTAAGGTTACTTGAGATGAAGAAAGGTGGTGATGACTTGCCTATATTTATAATAAATGGATAATCATTAAATTAACGATGCATTACGTTTCAGTGATAAGGGCATTCAATGATTCCTTTTTTTTCCTCTCATGTAAGTTGTTTGACTTATTATCTCGTCACATGGCTTAACTCTTTCATTAAGCTCTCCAAGAAAAATTTCTATGTTCCTACTTATACAAAATTATGAAATTATGTTGAAAATTCAAAGATATTATGAAAAATATATATATATATATATATATTCTGCTTCCCTTCAACGTTGAAGTGTGGGCTTTTTGATAAATAATAACAAGTGGACAAAAGACTTCAAAGAAAACTGTGAGCGCAACTTGTCACAATGGATAAAATAACAATGAACATGAAGCAAAAATTCAGGATACAGATAACCAATATGGTATTTTCACACTTTAATAAAATACTCAACTTGGTTTGGTCAATCATTGGGTTGGTTTTCTTCTAATAGAGATGCGAATCTTCTGCGTAACAGATCACTACGGCCACAAATATCTTCGATGTCTTGAACCTGCAATTAACAAATCATTACATTTTGATCTTTGATATTCTTAGCCGCATCTAATGACCCAGTTTCAGTCTCTAATCATATAGATGCTTAGTGGAATCATTCTTGATTTTCTAGTTGGAGACTCCACATTTGTTATCTGTAGAAAACAACGTTAAACCAAAGTTCAGTAATATTAAATATTATTTGAAAGTATGACAATTTTGTGTGCCTACATGACTGAACTATGGTTTCGTATCATGTGTACGTCTTCGAGGTGAATATCGGAACATGTTATAGATAGTAATTCTCTCAATAACTTAGTATAAATATGTTGAGTTATAACATCTTTTGCATACGACAAACTATATCAACAAAAAAATCATCATGAGTTACATTGTAACATTGCTGTTATATTGATTTGATTTGTGCCTTGCGAATCCTCAAGCTGTTTACATGGCATAATTTGATTCTTTCGTTAAACTGTCATTCTCTTTAACTTGTAATTTATACAGGATATAATCGCCATGATCCTATCTACCATGCACACTCAAAATGTTTTTTTTTTTTTTTTTTGCAAATCACATACCCCTAAATAATAATGACAGCATACAAGTAGTTAGTGCATCACAATCAGAAAAGAAACTTATGAGCAAGATTTTCAAACAAAAAAAAACTTATGACGAAGACCTATCATTTGCCCGTAACATGGCCAGTTCAATTCATTAAAAGCTATATGATATTTTGTTTAAGAAATAAAATTTCAGGTACTTATCTATTATTTCTTTAAAATGTGAAAAGTTTTTTTTTTTTTTTTTTAATAAATAGTTTGATTTGTTTAGACAAGGCTAATTTTTTTTGCCACCAAAATATTAATTAAACTTATATTGTTAAACAATAAATTGTTAAGGTCTATTGCAGAGTTTCTATTGGCAATGCTGGTCATCCCTAGTGTTCCAAAAACTCTCCAATAATTTAATAAACATTCAACAATTAGTAGAAATTTTGATTGTTAATGAGTTTATACAATTTGATTTGATCAAGAGAAACACCATAAATTGAAATAAGGTTTTACATATATGATAATTTCTTGGATCAATATCACTAGACTCACAACCTACCTTTATTAACTATAGTCAGATTTTTTTTTTCATGTCTACTATTTGTGCTGCAATACAAAGAAAATAATATTATAAATTTTAATTTTTTGATAAGCAAAATCATTATATATTTTTAACTATCTAAACCTTGCAAGCAATAGCATCATCACAATAAATAATGGTTTTTGAAAACTATTCTACAACCATTCCGCGAGAGGTTTTACTAATCATGGTAGATGTTCATCAATTCTTAGTGTATTTAGTTTTATGTTTGCAATCAATTGTACAATTATTGTATATTTGAAGATATTATGTGTTAATCTCAGTAATAAATATTTTCAACTATAACGAACATAACTTCTGGTTTATTTAAATCAACTAAAGAAAATTTCATCAGCCAAAAAATATTCAAAATTATTAAGATCCAAATATACAATTGATAAGTTGGAAAAAAAATGCACAAAGAAAAATCTGGAAAAAAATAAATAAGGATCTTCTGACCAAGTGTTCCAAGAACAATCCAATAATTCAGTAACGATGGTCTTTGGTTATTGGAAATCTTATTGTTAATAAGTTTATTATACAGCTGGATTAAATCAAAACAATTAATTTATTCTACTCGTATGATCACTTAAATAATGGAGTCCTGATTAATGAATGACTTTTTTTTAAGAATCCAATGAATTCAGAGATTGAAACACACAAAAATTAACCTAACCAGTTACTATCTTTAGATAATAATTGGATCACGTTCACTTTCTTAGGTCTACCTAGATAGAAATCATCATTCATCAATCAAACTAAGTCACTATGGTTTTTCGAACATATTTATATAATAAAATTATCTTCAAAACATGAAAAAGTTTTCATCAATGTTTAGTGGAAGTACATATAGTATAACCTGACTTGACTGGTTACATAACATATTTACATGCAGTTTCAGTCTTTCTCCTTTGCAAAAATAAACAAAGGAAAAAACCAACAAAAATCCATAAAATGGAAAGAAAAACTTGGAGGTTTTCCAAAAAAGATATCTCAAGATGAAACAACACAACCATAAGAATGCAAAAGTCTCACAAATGTTTCTTCTCTGCAAGGAATCGTCAATCCACCAATCGGATGATTGAAACCAAACTCTTCCTCTGCTCGATTTAGCAAACCTTGAAACGCAGGATGGTTCAAATACGAAATGGGAACCACAAATCTCTTCTTGTTCTCCATCTCTTCTCCGACATAAACCGCAACATGTCCTTTTGGAACACGAGACTGCTGTTTTTGGGATTGTTTAGAGTTGATAACACGCGACAATATAGCCATTTCGTCTAAAGCAAAAGTTTTAAAGAATTTTTTCTTTATTAAAGCTGAGAAAGATTGATGTTTTTGGTGGAGTTATGTTTCGGTTACTTGTTATTTATAGAGTTCTTTAGAGGTAAAGGAATCAAATTTCGAAGTTGTGTTTAATAATACAATATATTTAAATTGTAATTTAACTATTAGGAGCTTGCAGGGTTTCACATGGATCTGCTTAAAAGAAATAGGGTATACCAAGAAAAGCGTCAGGCTGATTCTGATTTCTCTGAGTGACTTAAGAATATAATCAAATAGGGACCCACTAAAGTTGCAAGATTCATCACATGCTCCTCTGCAACTTATTGAAACCTCTGGCCATTACATAAAACAGGTTTGGTCCTATTGGTTATGATGAATAGACAACATAAACAAGTGTCATCATTGATGAAAATATACACTTTTGACAAGTCTCTGGTTGGCTCTTGATATGGTGGCTTTTGGTCTATATGTGTTTACCTCTTGCGCCCCACTCAAGAGGACCCTTTGTGTGTCTTAAATAAAATTGACTTTACAAAAATTTATATCTAAATATTGTGATAAGGATTACTAAATCTGTATTTATTAATATTATTATTATTAAATCTGTAAGAGGACTTTCATGTGTAATAAGCTTGGAGTCATTGAAATGAGAAACACTGAACATGCATGGTTTCTCTGTGTTCTTACAATGTATAATCAACACGTTCAAGATACCAGCTAGGTGGAAGTTGTAGGTCTTAAAGAGTTTTTTCATATAAATAATATGAGTTTTCGGGCTCAACAAACTCCGTTAGAACACCAGAGCTCGACATCAAGTCAGCAATTGTTCTATCGTCATCACTATTCACTAACATAAAGTTGTATGATTTCTTAGAACTGTATGTATATATGCATTCTTTTTATTGACTAAATGTATTCATTTCCATGTCTGATCTCAAGGTATGATCAGAATATTTATTACAAGTCGCAAGTGTTATGTATGTAATTGTAGTTATTCTAAGAAAATTCAGTTTTTATTGAAGATATGATCACGTTTCATTTGCATTATTATGATCACAATTATCTCCTCCTAATAACGGAGACTAACATGTGCTTGACAATCTAAATATGCCATGATTAAGTTATCGTATTTGTTGTGATAAGTTTCACTATCAAATAAAACTGCGAAGTACTGTTTCAATCATTTTCAGTTATAATATTTATTTGAAGAAAATATGTCTTCTTTTGAATTATTAACGCGGTTACATTATCATCACATACAACCCATCTTAGTTTCTTTTGGGTGCATGTGGCCACCATTCATTTTAATAGTGTAAACTCCTGAAGGAAGTCTTATTTATATATATTTATTTATAACGCAAGTCAGAGCTGGTTACTAAAATAAATAATGTAATTATGTAACAGAGATTTCATTATATATAAAAACCTTTCCATTTCAATAATAATTTATTTCTTAGATGTACTATAAGAGGCAGTACTACATTATCTAACTAATGTCACAGTAGTGAAAACGTTCAAAATATTATCTTCGGAATACTAAATTATAACTCAATCTTACATCTTTTCAAAATAGATAGCAGAGCAAGTATTTGATTATTAATTTTGTTTCAATATATTAAGCATTACACATACACATAAAAACATTTGATAAGAAAAATATATATATAAATCTCAAAAGAGCTTTAAACTTCCTACACAACTTTTAAAGCTTTAAAAATCCAACCCACCTCTAAATCTTGAGCTTTTAATGGTTTGATTATGAATACTATCAAACTTTTACAATCTTATATCGGAAGATTCGGAACATAAGCTTTAAACAGTCATACATACACACACACAAGCCCCTAAATTTCCTATAATTCTCTTCTTAGAAAGAGAGAGAACAAACAAGATTCATCAAAACCTTCAAGACTATTAAATATTAACCACTGTGTTCCTCAATGCAGCTGATGAGAAGTAATGAGTTGAAGAAACGCTTCTTCTTGACAAGGAATCGTCAAACCGCCCATTGGGTGATGAAATCCGAACTCTTCCTCTGCATGATTAAGAAACTCTCTGAACAAAGGATGGTTCAAGTATGATATCGGAACCACAAACCTCTTCTTCTCCATTCTTTCCCCAACGTAAACCGCTACATGACCCTTAGGAACAAGCCCTGAAGTTGTTGTTGGTGATGATGATCCTTTTTTGTTCCTCATAGATTGTGATTTGAAGATTTGCTTTGCATTTGGAAGCATTGATCGCATTAAACCCATCTTCTTATAATTTATGAACAATGCAACTTATCAATTTGATGATGTAAAAAAATATCTGAAGCCAGTTACTTGATAGACAAGGAGTAGAAGTTTCTATTTATAGTAGTAAATCTAAAGCATGTAACTTCAAGATAAGGAAAAGACTTCTATGCTTAAAATAACAAGAAGATGTGATATCTCTATCACGGGAAAAACCCCAAATATTGTGGGCTGTTGGGCCCTCCCGTCATCCATCTGGCTCACATGGCTTAGCTCATCTTTATGTACTCAAATACGTATTTAGGCATGGATTGGTAACAATGCGGAATGGCTTATGAAACGCGATTCCTCAAGAATTTTACCAATCAACAAAATGTTATAGAATGAAAAAAACGCAAAAACGCAAACTTGCGTTTTTGCTGACAAAAATATAAAAAGAAATTTTATTAAGTGGAAAAGTGAGTTTTAGTAGATTATGGTGAAAAGATTTACAAATTAATATCTTCATATTACTAAATTATATGCTAATACTATCTTAAAATATAAAATACATATCAATAATTTTTAATGGTATATAATTATGTTGTAAATAAAGTTCTATTATAATTTGTATATTATAAAATGTCAATCTATTGTTAAAATGTATTGAAAGATAAACTAGGTATTTATAATTAAAAAAAATGTTTTTAATAAATTTTAGTTGTTTTCACATTTGTAATAATTAGTTTAATTATTACTAGTTTTTTTATAACAAATTAAATACCATATAAAATATTTTCATCTATTTAATATATATTCTGTCATTCTGCAAATTTTAAAATTTTCCACGATTTATTTTTCCGCAACTTAACTATTATTTATGCGATTTCGCGATTACGTAATGTTTACCGATCGGAGTCTTAAAAGGACAATGCACAAAACGTACGTTTTATATGATTGGCAACATAAAAGTTGGGAATGTATATTTAGTTCGAGCCTCGAAGTGGTGAATAGTGTGACCTGGGTCAGACTAACTAGTGGGTCCAGTTCTTTAACCACTTTTAGCAATCGATGATAGCAATACATAAGTTCCAAGTCTTGAAGTAGATCTACCTTCGCTCTCAAACTATGGGCCGTACGGCTGGGACAAACTAGGAGTAAGGAGATGGTTTTATTTATTCTTATATATTGGAACAAAATTGTATTTTTTCTATAATACAGCTCTATAAATAGTTTGATGAAGTTATTTGCCATTGGATAAGATATCTGACTATCTTTGCATGTGATTATGATGATAATGATTGTGATTGTTGCTACAGCTGAGTTTTGAATGTACGACATACTACTGTTTAGTGATAGAAATAGATCGAAGACTGAATCGTCAATGATCTATAGCGCTATTTGCTACCTATGGCCTACTACTTAGATTTTTACCCCTGAAAATAGTAACTTGCTGTAGTGGGATTTACTGATGGTATCCTCTATACGTTGAAAGAAAAGAGTTTCAGACTGAAAAACAACTTAAAACTTAACGTACTTGAAAAATTTCGGTTCTTGATCTGAACTAATATGATGACTCTTTATCCAGTGGAAATCACTAAACTGGTTTATTAAAAGAAGGTTTACGTTTGTTCTTATTAAATGTTCTTCTAAAATATGGATCAGTTTCATGTTTCATTTATTTTATCGATTTTTAAATTATACTACTAAAGTTCCTTTATTGAACAAAGAATCTAGTACGTAAATATACGGGGGATTTCAGATATTAGAGGTAGGCACTTAGGTTTTTGTGGCTCTGAGAACATCCGCAACAATGATACCCGTTAAAATCTTTAGTTTTAAATTTTTTTAATTATTATTTTTTTTTAGATAAAAAAATTAAATACTAACCAATCGTGAATCGATATGTATTGTGGGACCCATAAATAATATAAAGATTCATTAAAAAAATTTCTTATTTAAAGATTTTTAAGAATAAATCTTTAAAAATTTATTGATTATTTTATTATTTTTCTTAAGAATTTCTTTTTAATGACCATTGTTGCGGGTGTTCTTATAGATTCAGTATCGAAATCATACGGATTATTGTTTATGATAATCTAATAAGTTTAGGCGACTATAGATGCCACCGAATGCTTGTTATGTTTGAGTCTTCCTGTCATAACTGTAGCTTAACTAGTGCAGACATTTGATAATTATGATGGTATTTTCTTCTCTTTTTGTATACCAATAAAGTACAAGATCCACAGTGTTCTACAAATTAGTTGAAATTTACTAATATAGGAACAATGATACAGATTGTAGTCGAGCTAGCATGTAAAGATGATTAGAAATTTGTAACAAGATAATTTAATATGCAGACCTCAAAATGTGAGATTTTGTTCTTAAAATATGGATTAGGAACAAATATTATATTTTGAAGTCCTTTCGAATTACCTCCATAAAGTAACTTATAGAAAAGCCAATCCGCTATATACATCGAAAAAGTAAACAAATATACATAGAGAAGATTCTTAATTTTTCTTTTTCTTGAGGAAGTGAATTCCTTACAAATGGAATGGTTAGAACTTAGAAGAACTCACAAGATATTTTTAGGTCTAAATTGACACAGGCTCAATTAGTATCTCAACCTCGAGTTATTTCCTTTCCACTTCCTTAAATACATCTTCCTTAAATACATTTAAGAAAATACAAAAATATATATGTATACGGAAGCTTAATGAATATTGTGATGACCAATGATCTCTCTTGTCACGAACCATTTATAATAGAAGCTAGAGTTGTAAAGTAATCTTCAGTACAAGGGATGGTTAGACCTCCCATGGGATGATTGAACCCAAACGCTTCTTCTGCGAGGTTCAACAAAGCTTGGAACAATGGATGGTTTAAGTATGATATAGGTATCACAAATCTCTTCCTTTGGTAAGTTTCCCCCACGTACACGGCAACATGACCCTTTGGGACATTATTAATACCCGTCATGGCCAAGAGGCTCGCGATTCTCGCTGATAAGCTTCTTTGAAACTTCTGCTTGGTGTGAGATAGTCCAATCAATTGAATACTCATCTTCGAGGATTAATGCAAGTAACCAAAAATGGATATTAAACAGTAAGTGATGAATATTTGAATGTTTTGAGCTTCTATAGAAATGGATCAGGTTTGTTTGCAATAAGTTTATTTAAGTGTCAAAAGTATATATAGGGAACTAAAAGAGTTTGTGACCGCTAGTCACTGGAGAGTAGATAGTCTAGGGAACATATCAGGTGGAGCTAATGGATTAAGTCCACATGCTTATGCCTTGTCTTTTTTAAAACCACTTTGTTTATTTTTTCTTTCTTTTTGGTAATAATGTTATTAAGACCCTACCATTCCCGAATATAAATTGAATTGTAACAATTTACCATCTCTAATATGAATAGAGCCAAAATAAGAAAGGAGAAACATGTTACAATCAGTGTGTATGAAATTATTACTTTGATAAAGACTTTACATTCCATATACATAATGTGTTCCGAAATTAGATATATACATAATACATTGCTGTCAAAGATACTAAACCTGACTAATTTGACGTACCATATTAGGCAAACTGTTTCAAAATAGTTTTTCTTTGTGTGGTGAGGTAGACGATAGATCTTAGCCCCATATTTTTCAAATAGCCAAATAAGCCACAGCTCATATGAAAGAATTACAGAAGAAATTATACATTAAAGATAGGATTACCCATTGTTTCTCTAGACAAGATTTATTTATATATATACACAACACAGAGTATTCGACCATTGTGAATTTGTGAATATGAGAGAGGACAACAACAATTAGTTTGGCTGCTAGGCAAAATTATATTTCCCGAAGAAAAGAAAGAAAGAAAGAAAAAGGCACAAAAGAAAATAACATTTCTTCAATTTTTATATAATTTTCAACATTTAACTCCATTTGTTCCAGCCGTGGAAATAGTTAACCAATTTGGGAACAACGGCATCTGCATTTGTTGTATCCATTGTTGATAATGGGAGGGGTACATATATGTAGATGAACTGAACGTACCCATAAAAGGCAATAACGAAGAAAGCTAGAGAACAAAATCCAAAATTCTAGTTGTTTCTCATTATCAGCAAAGACTGTCCCTAATGTACCACCTCATATGTCATGCTTTCTCTTTAAAGTAGCTCTTTTGCTGAAAATTAAATAAAGTGAATTCTTTCAAATTACTTAAATTACATATAAATAAGATATCAATGCTTTAGTATTGTATCTAATAGCTTTCTTTTCTTTTCTTTTTTTTTCTGAATCTCTTCTTTTCTATGTTTTGTTTCAGCCGGAACATAGATCACCATATCGAATTTGTAGTAATATATTGTTTTCTTTTAAGGAAAAAAATTGAGTGTTTCCAAAAGACTTCCATATGATTACAAACAAGTGTTACAAATGAAGTTAAAGACTCGCATGATAAAAAAACATATGTGCATACATAAAGACATTTCATACAAAACAATTAGATTAGAATACGAAACAAAATGTCCAATTGTTATTGTTATTATATCCTCGTGACCGTTTGACCGCATTTGACATAATGGAGGTCAAAAAGTCCAATAAAATTATTGTGCCTCGAAGCTTTATTAATTGAGTGGATTTGAGTATGTTAGTGTTTGGCAGCTACTACATACAACACGAGGGCTTCATCATCAAGTCACTGACTCTTGACGTTTGACCAGAAAAAACTAAACGTTATTGGAAGATCCATTCGTGAATATCCATGTTTCTGCGATTTCATTTTCGTGGCTTTACACCTGTATATCTGTTCTCTCGGATAATGGCTTTTCATATGAAATAATTAGAGGGTATATGTGATGTGACCCACCAAATAAGAGAGGGAGCATTTGATAAATTACAGCTTTTCAAATACGAATCAACAGATACGGGACCTTTTTATTTATGTGTTATATTTACCAATACCCTGTGAGGAGAAATCGGGAATACAGTGTGTGGAAATTGATCAATGTTTTACTTCTCTGTTACTTTGTTACCATTAATGCAGAAGCATATATCATTAACCCATAGTTGTAGAAATTTATGAATGTTTCTTTTTGTTTTAGTTTCATTCTGTAGGCAGATCAATATAAAAGCCTCCTCAATAACTGTAGTATATAATGTACTTAAGCTAATATAGTTATCTCTGTTTTAATAACTCTCTATACATACTGATACTATTAGTGCGCACCCACACACACATCAGTGGCGACCCGGAAGGGAAGCATTAGAAGTTCAGGCTTCCGTCCCTATTTTATTTAACTTAACAATCGGTCATTAAATCCTAAAAATTTCAACTAATCTAGTGATTTATAGAGTTATTTTGTAATGACGAAGTAAAGTGTTCGATTCCTTCCTTCTCCATTTGGATTAAAAGACTTTTTTCTAAAATGACTTTTAATAAATAGGTTTTAATTTTCAATTTGCTTTCGGTCCTCATATTTTCAAGACCGTCACTACATATATATATATATATATATATATATATATATATATATATATTCGATTAGTCTTTTTCCTCACCTATTCTTTATAACTTTAGTTTATTTTTTCGAATTTTATTAATGCGACCAGACAAATATCACATCATAAAAATTGGAGAAACAACGACATAGTTTTGACGTACGCCTTCAAAGTACAAACATTAGCTGGATAGATAAACACTGACGCGTATGATGTGGTCATATGGGTGGGTCCTGAATTAACTGGCTTAGTTCATTTCAATCTTTTTTTTTTTTTTTTTTGTCATCAACATATACAGACTCTAAGTCGACTCTGCTAACCAACCCGGGGCTTCCATAAATGTTGTTTATCTTTAAATTTGAGTAGCGGTAAATTCTCGCAATGATCATGCGATAAGCCGAGGCAGTGGAAATCTTTCGGTACTATTTCTTATTATTGTTTTTTTCAATATTATTTTTCTATTTTTTATTTGAGAAATTTATCTTGAAATTTTAGCTTCACTGATAAAATATCTATTTACTGTTTTACTAATATATATTAATATATTTTAGAAGCTTAATTAAAACTATCAAAAATATCAATATTATAAGCTTTACTATATTTTAGGCTTTAGCAGCTTAATTTAAGAAAGAGTATAAAAATAGAATAGTTACAATTTTTATTTTATTAAAAAACACTATGGCCCATATGCCCATGGTCATCAATTTAAAATCACGTATTGCCACGATCCATCCTGTGTGTGACACATAACATGCTAAGCAAACAAATAAAATGCAGACTACGTACCTCTACGTCAACTGACAATTTTCTACTAATATACTTCTCCCATCCTATGGATTGTTTTTATTATTTGGGATATCTCTGTTGTGAAACTAATTAGGTTTAAGAAAGTGCATACAAACCCTAAAGCTAATTAGCTCGTCAAATTTTCGTATAATTAACTATATGGTGTAGAGTCCAGATTTTCGTTAACAAGCTAAAACTTGTAACCATTACCGCCTAGCACAGACTCGGCCATTGCGTTACACGTATTTTCTAATTCATTAAATAAAAATATGAACCAACTGAAGTTCGTCTATTCGGATCAGTTATGAGAAAATTGCAACAGAGATTGCCAGTTCCTCTCGTTTTGTAACAGTTGAAATATAATACTTGACCCTTTTCTACACAAAAATGTTAATCACATTCACACTAATTATCAAAAAGAGAGGTTAAAATATTTATATATAATACTTAAAGCCGATTAAGACAAATATGATTAGGACCTAAGACATAGGTGGCTCCTAAACGCATGGGTTTTAGCTCCCAAGAAATTACACATGGTATTGTTAGACTAAGGGGTTGATTGGTAGAGCATTAGCATAAGCATTATGCTCTCTATTATCCAATCAACATTTGGTAAATAAGCATTTAGAAAAGCATTTACCAAATGCAAATGCTCTCCAAATGCTCTTTGCTCAATGCTCTCATATAGAGCTTTTGGGAGAGCATTTGCATATAGAAAATATAAAACTTAAAATAATATTTATATATAATTAATTTATTTTTGTTTAAAAATATAAACAATATTTTTATAATTAAATATAAATTTATATTTTTAAAAATAAAAATAAATTTTTTTTTAAAGAACAATATTTCACATTTAAAATATAATATAATTTATACAATTACATATATCATTCATTATTTTTAATAACAAACATAACATAATATAAATTATATATTATAGATATAAACATATTATTTAGACACTAATAAATAAATTATATATTAAATTTTATGATAATTTTATATATGAGTAATTTACTGCTCTACCAATAAATAAATAATAATAATTTATATATAAATTATAAGTAATTTATATATAAAATATAATTAAATAATTAATTTAATAATAATTATAATTTAATAATAATTAATTAAATTATAACTATAATTTTATATATGATTAATGTGTTATATCCAAAAATAATTTAATATTTGTAAAAAAATTTAAATTTTTAAATATAATTATATAATGAAATTCATTATTTTTAATAAAATTATATATTATTAATATATATTATATATATATTATTTTAAAAGTAATATATTATTTTACTAACTATTATGATAATTTTAAAATCGTATACTGCTAATGCTCTGCCAATCACTTTATTAAAAACTTTAATGAAAGCATACAGCTTATGTAGCGTACTGTTTCTGCAGCATACTGCTACTGCTTTATCATCTGCTGTACCAATCAAGGTCTAAGCCATAAATTTTGCTTTAATAATAATAATAACCTTCAAAATTAGATTACGACTATCTAACTTTTTGTGACTAAACCAATCCCGACGATTATGTAAAATCTGTTCTGTGGAAAATTCTTCTTACCTTACTTAAATGTCGTCTAATTATATAAAGGTGATATATTATAGTGGAATCCTCTTCTTAGAAAATAGGGGATATTGGAATTTAAAGAATTTATTAAAGATTTCAAATATATTCTTTTAATAAATTTGAAGGTCTAAATTTTTTTGGGGCCTATTATATGTTTTTTTCAAATATTTTAGAGACCTAACCAATATTTCATCAAGATTTGTCAATGACCGATCTTAATTACTCTTTTGAAGACTAGGAGATTGTTGGTTGAGCTTTAACTTAGGACTTTAGTTTTATTTATTTTTAAAACACTAATGTTAACCAATCTTATTGTAGCTTTATTTTAAGTTAAAACCTTACTATATCACCTACAACCATATTTTTTTGTTTATTCATGTTTTACTTATCTTTTTCTAAAGCAACTATTAAAATATTTTTAAAATCGTAATATTTTTTTTACAACAATATAACATACAACTACAACAACAATAACTATAAATAAAATCCTACAACTACATTTCTACATCTATAAACTAACCAATCATCCAAAATAGCTGTGGCGTCTTGAGTGCAATCCTTAAAACTTGTGTGTTTGAGGCACAAAACGTAATCATATTTTGTCCATAGTGTTTTAAAATCATCAATTTTCCATTTTTAGTAATGTGAGTAAATATACAAACGGGAGCGTGCGTATACATAACAAACACACAACGATAATGCGTTACAACATCCATTTTCTGGATCAGATTTAGGTTTCATATTCTTCTTTCCGGTGTATTTATTCTTCTTTCCCGTATATCCTTTTTTTGCCAAATTGTGAATTTTCATATAAAATGATACTTGTTTGTAAATGTTACAAAAGGTTGATTTCTAGCTAGTAAAACCTTGGCAAAATAATAAAAACAAGGCAGAACAAGAACATAGTTTTGAAAGTTTTGTGGTGGGTTACTCATTCGTAAGCCACATCTGCATCAGAGGTTGAAATTGCTTCTTCCTCCTGTTGCCCAGAATAATGTCTCTGACCATACGATCAATATTTTTAAAGATTAAAATTGTACAATTTTGAGTTTTTACAATCCGAATTAGTTCTTTACTTCTTTTAGCATGCAAATTGAATTAAACAATATTTTTTGTTTTTGTTTTATATTTCAGTCAAAGTGTGTATATTATCGGGAAACGAGTAGAAAAGTGTTCTGCAAGATTTTCTTTATTAACAGTGTGAAGGAATTATTATATGATATTACCATATATGTACGAGATTTATTAAACATGTCTTTTAGTTAACTCTTACGAACATTGTATAGGTAGATGAGATCTAGAAAATTGATTTAAAAGCTTTTCTCGTCTTATTATATCAGGTGGGTAAAGTTTCTCGTCGATTTTTTTGCTCAACTACTTATTCATGGAATCGGATAAAGGGACTTTTTCAACAAAAAAAACAGATTAACGGAAGTTAATGAAATTAGGTTAAAAGGTACTGTCCAACTACTCTTTGTTCTTCAAACAAAACAGTTTAGCTTATTAAAGGTTTTAAGAGTATATCTTCCATGTTTACTACTTATGTTAGCATTTATTTATTACTGTTATTGTGTAACCTTAATCTCTCGTTGACTATGAAAATAGTTTTTTTTTTTGGTTGTGATGAATAACCTAGGGTTATAATTTAGAGTTTTTTTCAAATATTAAGAGTATTTATATTTTTAGACTTTATTCGTTTTCTAATTTAGGACTTTTCTCTATTTGTTCTTGAATGTTGAACTCATTGGTGTAGAGCAAAACATTTTTATAATATAAATTCTTACTATGTTCAAGGTTAAATTTTAGCGATCGAAGATCCAGATCAAGATCATATATATCTCTTATATTCAGAAATAAAGTATTGTATGCATCATTATCTTTATAATCGAAACTAGGATCCAAATACGAATCAGTTTGAGTCTAGAAGAAACATCCACAAGAAGACAATCCATCATTCAACAGCGAATGAAAACCAAATTAAGTTCTTTTGCAAAAAAAAAAAAAAAAAAACTTCCTGTTTTATATATCCAACGTCGGCATAATTGAAATTGAAAAGGCAGTTCGGACATCAAGCTGTGAGTGAACTCACTTCAACGGTGACCTACTTTCATCTGTTTGTGTGTCCTAAGGTACATGGCCAAGGTTCACACAGTTTTCAAGAAGAAAATATATTAAAATAATGTTTTGCCTATGATCCTGTCTCTCTTTAGTTCTTCTTTAGAGCATCCACATCAATGAACCCTTCTTAGAGTTCATTGAATCAATATTTTATTATTAAAATTTTTCTGTTTTTTTTTTGAATTCTTTTTTTTTTTTAAAGAAAAAAAAAGATCTAGACCAATCCCGGGCCGACATGTGTTGAACCTTAGGAGAGAGGGGTTCACCCGGGTGAACTTTAGGAGAGAGGGATCCATAGATTTTGGTTATTTTATTATTTTATTTTTTTGGTTTCCGTGTGAACCCTCCATTTGAACTCTCAATGGGGGTGTTAGTTCTCCCCTGTGAATCTTTGAAGTGTAGAGTTCATCACTGTTTTACGGACCCCACGCCACGTGACGATTCGTTATTGGTCAGTGAAATTTTTTTTTTTTTTGAAAAATCAAACGAAAAAAAAATAATAATAAAAATTCCAGTTATGAATCTCAATATTTTTTTTTTTACCTCAATGGGGGTTCATTAATGCACTTGCTCTAAATAGTTTTTATTTGAGTTTGTATATACCAAGACGCTTTTAAGTGTATTGTAAAAGGATTACTTATATAAAAGAAAAAAAGGTGGAAAGCTGGGGGTTAACTGCAACCTACCGTTGGAAAAGAAAAACGACCAGAAACACAGAAATTTAATTATATAGAAGAGTTTTATCAGAAAATTAAAGAAAAAAATTATACTACAATGAAGGAGGCACATGGGTGTCTGCATATAAATGGAAAAATAATTTTGTTTGAAAGTGTCACAGGCACACTCTCTTGAACCACATTTAACAAGACTCCAAACTCTGTTCTTCTGTTTTGTACTCTTCAGTACATTGTTCTTTCCAAAGTCCGTGAGTTACGCTATTCGATGACACCTCTCTCTCTCGAGAGAGAGAAGTCATGTGTGTATTATTTTCTGCTATTCACATTTTCAGCATTCGATGATACATTATATTTCCATTATTCGAAACTACATACTTTAACGCAAAATTTATTTTTGTTAGGGAGAATCTTTTGTTTTACATATAGTAATCTCTTCAAAAAAATTTCCCAAAGTATTGGCTAATAAAAATGTGTATTCACTTGGGTAGTCAATAATATGTACACTAATTAGCATACATACAGTGGCTTAGCTATATATAGTAACTATAACAGTTTCTAATATTTACAATTAACATAGTACTTAACAGTTTATAACTGTTTGAACACTTCAATCTTCTTGTTTCTAACAAAAAGAAGTTAATAACTACAAATTAATCCTATCGTGATAAAATTATCATAAATACCAACAATATAATGGGTTAGACTCTAATATATATTGGCATGTTGCAAGTTATAGAGTACCATGTAACATATTACGTGATAGTCTTGGAAATGTCGAATGTTCTGCCTTTTTTTTTGTCAACGCGAATGTTTATGTCTAAAATGTTACATTTTTTTTTTTTGACAAATGTTACATATCATTCATATAACATGAATTATATTTTTGAGGAAGATATTACTTTGTTTTTTGGAAGATATTCCCTTACATTAATTAATAGTACATGTGAAATATTTGTATGTAATATGGATGAATATTCTTATATATACTTTTCTGGTTCTTTTAATGATTTTTTTTCTCTAGCTTTATGAGTATTGTTATTCCCAGGAACTACCTTCCCAGGCTCCTTTGCTTTCCCAGGGAAAATATAGAGATATATCAAATATTGATGGGTCAAAATAATATAGAATTAACGGTGATGGTAGTTCACCTAGCCATTCGGATATGTAGTAAGCGCAGACAAGAGTACCATAAGCCACTGCAAGTCTGCAACTAACATGACACATCGCATATCTCAGGAAAAATAAATTATGGTCCAATGAAACCGAAAACCCTGAAAAAAAAAACTGCTACATTTGTCAAATTTATGTCCTCTTAGTTATTTCTATGTTAAATTAATTGGAATTGTGATGAAAATATTTAATATTTACTATTGACTTATAGTGATAAAAAAAAATATAGTGATACTATACTTAATCTGGCCATTTTAATGAAACAACTCAGTTAAGCTAGTATATAGTTAAATTCCTTCTCTAGATGAAAGTAAAGGATTTAGAAAGGTGGAGCAGTATGGTTATCATGTATAGGCATGACTTATAGTATTAAGAGCATCATTATCAAGGGTCCCTTAACCAGAGTCCATTAGCGTAAAAGTTTTTTAGTTTTTAACTAAAAATGCTAAGGGACGTCCCTTAAATAAGGGATTTACGAGAAGCCTCTTAGCGTTTTTAGTTAAAAGCTAAGAGACTTTACGCTAAGGAACTTAGGTTAAGGGACCCTTGATAATGATGATCTCAGAAAAATGATATGTCTGTTTTGCTTGCCGTTTAATTTATTTCAAGTAGTTTCACTTACGTGTTTGAAGTGACTATTCAAACAAAGAAAAATGAAGTTAGAAAAGATATCGTGTATTATGGTAAGGACCAGGAGATCAGAAGGGGCCACAATGTCACTAAGAGAACCAACAATGAAATTAAATCCTCAGCTGGCTTTTGCCATTTTGGCTCCCACCTTCCCTTTCCACACATATGCACATGCCCTTCTCTCTCTACCCAAACAGGTATATCAGACACATAGACATACAAAATCTTTATTTATAAATATACTACTCAACTCCTCAGTAACCACCACACATCTCCTTCTCCATTTCTCTTTCTCTTTCCAAACATAGCCAAAAGCTTTTATCTCTCAAGAACCCAAAAAAAAATGGCTATAATGAAGAGATCTTCAAAACTAACTCAGACAGCAATGCTGAAGCAGATTCTAAAAAGATGCTCTAGCTTAGGAAAGAAGAATGGAGGAGGGTACGATGAAGATCTCCTCCCACTTGATGTACCAAAGGGACACTTTCCTGTCTATGTCGGAGAGAACAGAAGCAGATACATTGTCCCAATCTCCTTCTTGACTCACCCTGAGTTCCAATCTCTCTTAAGACGAGCTGAGGAAGAGTTTGGATTTGACCATGACATGGGTCTCACCATTCCTTGTGATGAACTCGTCTTCCAGAACCTAACCTCCATGATCCGATGAACTTTTAAGTTAAATCATTTGAAGAAGAAGGAGAAGGAGATGGTTAAAGAAGAAGCAGGAGCTTCTCTTTACAAGAAAACAGCATCTCTTCTCTCTTTTTAAGTTTTTGTTCTTCTATTTTTAAGCCCATCTAGGGTTTTTACGAGTTAGTTTACTCGTCTAACAAGAAAGAAACCTGTATGAGATATAGATTCCATGGGTTTAGATCTGTAAAAAAAATCTTGTAATGTTTTCCTCGCAGATCTTGATTCTGTGAGAGAAGTTGATTAATTAATGCAAAAAAAATTATTCCTCTATTTTTAGTGATTCCTTGCAATTTTTATTGATTCTTGTGCAACTTAACTTGTATTTTCAAAGGGTACAGTACATTTTAAGCATTAAACAGTAATAAAGGTCCTTAACTTTGGACAATAATTTGTTAATAATAGCATTATTGAATATAGTTTGAGGCTAAAGTTACATGTGATACATAGATAATTAGGGTTCTAAAAATAAGATTATATGTCAAAGTCATATGAATGATATATATCCTTTTGAAAGTGCATGCTTTAACATGGGTTTGTCAGAGAATGTGGGGTACTTTATCATAGACGAAGCCATATAAGATTTTTTTTCTACATTCGAAAAAGAAAATGGTTTCTAGTAGTATTAAGGATTAAATTTTTTTAAACAATAAGATCCATTTACTCGATATGTTCTGCATGTCCTTGCCAACATTCATGTTTAACTGTGTTTGTAATTGTGCCTGAATTAGGCCAGCAATATCTTTAAAAGAACAGTTTCAAAAAAATATATATATTTATTTAAAAGAAGTTTGTATATCTGTAAATAAAGGCTAATTCAGTAGCTTTAACTAGAGAAAACAATACTCCCTCTGTTTTATTATAAGTGTCACTCTGTAGCTATGCACACGGATTAAGGAAACAATTAATTTTACATATTTCCTATATAAAAACACAATTACCTATACACCTAACCATATTTTAACCAATAGAAAAACTACTTACATAATAAAATTAATAAATTTTGCATTGAAAACCAAAAACGACACTTATTTTGTAACGCAAAAAATTCTCTACAACGACACTTAATATGAAACGGAGGGAGTATGTATTATATATAGTCAAGACGCAAAATTGACTACAACTACTAGTTTCTCGTCATTATTATTAGTACCAAAGAAGAACTTGGGAAAAAAAAGAGTTGTGTCCAAATGTGGCGTCCTTGATGATTCTTAAAGTCTAGCATTATATATTTGGATATCATGCGCAATTAAACGATTCCTTCTTCTACGGCTTTTCCATATTCCGTACAATTAGTTAAAGCTGTAATTATACATTTATTTCATTGAACAAAAAGTTAATTAGACCACTTGTGCCCCAATATTAAATCATTAGTACAGCTTCATAATTATAAATTTGATACTACAATTGAATATAACCTTAAATAGTCGTTAATTTCTAGAAATTGATGCAAGATCTTATCACGCATACCCAACTCTATTGGTTTCTACATCATTAGTCAAACGCAATTAACACTTGACCCACAAAAATTAAGAACATTGTTTAACTCTTAGCTTAAGCAAACGATTCTTTAATCTTACTCTATGGCATAAACCTAATTATTATAATGCACATATCACCATAATCCAATGTTCAATCAGAATCGTATAATATTTTAAAACTCAATTAACAGTAATTTTGTAATAAAAATGACATTGGTGCATACAAAACTTGCAAGTAATTAACAAATAGAACAAATGGTAGTTGTAATAAACTATGATGATGCATCCTACTCGACGAGCGATCTACAACAAATGGTGTTTTACTTTTAATAGTTTATAAAATTTTTGAATTCAACTTAAACTAACTTCTAATGTAATGATGACTTTTAATTTAATTAAGATATTTTCATTGGTTGAAAGAATTTGAAATGTCTCATAATTATCGGTGTTGTATATTTTCTGAAATCAAAGTACATATCTTACCATGATCTCTCAAGATTTTTCCGTCTAAACTTTAGGCTTTGAAACAACTCGAGATCTAATTTAATCACATCAATGTTTACTAATCATGGTAGAAATACATAAACTTTAGTATGTTTACTTTTATGTTTGTTATCATTTGTACAATTATTGTATTTTGGAGATAAATATGATTAGTGATGGATATTTCCAACTATGGTGGAGTTGAACATTTGATTTATTTAACCAATTAAAAAGAGTTCATAAGCCAACAATATATTCAATTATTATTATTTCCTCATTAAGATCCATAAAAATTAATATGCAAGTGATAATAGCCTAAAAACAATAAGATGTTTTGACCATATCAAATATATCCAAATTAAAAATATACCTAAGATCCATAAACATCAATGGACTTTCAATCCTAAAATGATCAGAATGTACCTAAAATCACAATCAAACTCTAATTTCCATATTATTTTTCTTGTTAACTAATGATTCAATTGAATAGTAGTTTTAGATGTTTGTTGTAAAACTATAGTAAATATGTAAATGTTTGAGATATGTTGATTTCTACAACCGAAAATAAGAAAAATTGATGGAATGTGATTGAAAAGTATTTATGTTTTAGAAAAAGCTGGTTGTGAAAACAATCTAATCTGAAGCATCTGACAATCAACCCTAAAATATAAAACTAGCATAAAAAAAAAAGTAAACCAAGTCTTTAATTAAAGCTTGGTAAGTTTTCTTTAACACAAGCTTTCGACAAATTCAGTTTGCAAATTTAATGATTCTGATTTATTCAGTTTTCACAATTAACATACATATTTCTTAGTAATATCAAAAGATAACAGTGAAAATTCATATAAATACTTCACGCTTTTTGTCAACTTCACATAGATTAATCTCTGTATATACTCCAAATCGTTGCATTGTTTCACTTAAAAGACTAAAGTGAGTCATGATTGCATTGATCTCATTTAAAACAATTTTATTTAATAAAATCTTCATTATTTTTAACATTTAGACTGAGAAAAACTTTTCATTTTAGCAAATCAAAAATTTAAATGATAAGAATTTCATATAAGTAACCCAATTATTAAGATATTTGATTCATGCATGTTGGAGGGATTAACAACATTGAAGGAGGTTGGGTTCAGTAGGTTGTGAGTTCGATCTACATGTGAAACAATTTTGGGTACTAATAGAGTTGTATGTTGACGAAAATTCTATGTTTATTTTTTATCCATTTGACCTAATTGATGTACTTTTATTGTGTGAATGAAATAAAAAAGAGTTGTTCTTGTCCGACTTGGGCTGGGATTTTGAATGGAACCCACTGAACCAAACCAAAATTTTCAGCTAGTTTGGTTAGCTCGGTTAGGAGTTCGTTTCAATTCTCTTTGGTAGATTTTCTAATAAAGTTTGGTTTCGGTTCAGTTTGGTTCGACAATCGCTTACTTCTATTTTCAAACCAAACTAACTGAACTTACCAAAATTTAGATGGGAATTATCTCAATATCCGAACTAACCGAAACTACAAAAAAAAACATGATTTTCAAAAATCAAACTAACATAATACCAAACCGAATTTTATCCCAGGTTAATTTGGTAAAATTTATGTTAAACCGAACTACCCGAACCAAATTATTAAAACTTGGAGGCTAATTTTTGCATAGATATAAATATAATATTCAACATTTTGGTTTAAATTGGTCTCTATTCAATATCGGTAGAATGATTGTGTAATTTTTTACTATACCCTTTAATGGATATTGTACTGTTTCGATACTTTCTTCTCATGTGCTCTAGAATCTGCGTTTATAACTAACATAAGAGACTGAAACTGGAGATTCTTTCAAGTTATTGCAATACTAGACAAAATAAAAGCTGAGAAAGGGAGTGAAGAGTGGCCAGAGACATCTGAATCACCAGAGGATGATCAAGATTAGGAAGTTGATGACCCGGACGAATACATCATCTATGTGAAGTAATGGTCTGAAGCAATTTTAGCACCGAGCACGAGTGTATATTACTATGTCAACACTCTGTGAGTCATCATATGTTAAACCATGTTATATAGACAAGACTCAAGAGTATAAAGAAGATGTTGATGGCACGGAACTGAGAATAAGAGAAGATGACTACCAATGATATATTATATATATATATATATATATATATATATATATATATCACATGGCTCCTTGAAGCTTCTTTGTTCTTTGATTCTAAAGGAAATGTTATCTTCTTGCATCTTTGGATCAATGTAGTCATAACTTATAAGCCATTTGTCTCTGCTTTCGCTGTAATGTGCCTTTGTAGTTGTTCTGCTAGTAGAAGAATCAAACCGGATTTGAAATTCGATTTTATTTCAAAGTCCGACCAAAACGCAAAGTAAACCGGATTGGAAAATGTTTGTTAGATATTTTTAAAAATTGGGCTTAAGTGAATCACAATTAGGCCCAGGCCCAACATGACGTGGTCGTCTCTGTGAAAAGATCAAGCTGCACGTCGTTCCCTTCCACTCATCTGAGAAAAAAAACAAAACAATAAATAAATAAAAATTAAAAGCGATATAGCCACATCTCTCTCACCATCTCTCTCTCGCCAGATTTCAAATCATCGACCCGATCTCATCTCAGATCCAGATCACAAGCTCTCAACATGTCTACCTTCAGCGGCGATGAAACAGCTCCTTTCTTCGGCTTCCTCGGCGCTGCAGCCGCTCTCGTCTTCTCCTGTAACTTCCTCTTTCCTCTCTTCCACATACATTTCGTTTTGATCTTCGTTAATCGTCTTCCTGGAATCTAGGAAAGACCTCTAACATTTGCTAACGTGGCATAGCTCTGTGTATGATTTGATTAACGAATTGAGTGTTTTGGTTCGATCTGCAAATGAATCTGTGATCTTATATATGATATGGTTTGCATTTGACCTTGGATCACCGTTTGGATTGTATAGTTTAGTCAAATTCTTATTTGCGTAGAGATTTGTTGAATTTGTTGATCATATTAGTTATTGGATGCTATGATTAGCGTTTGACCTTGGAGGATCCGATAAATCAATGTTTTTCAATCAACGCTGTGTCAAATCTGAGATGAGATTCGACTCGATTTGGCTTTGCTGTGCATTCCTTGATGTTTTGGAATCCTTTGTGTTATGTATTGAGTATATGAAACTATGATTAGATACTAGAGTGATTGTGTTCGATCCAATTAAGGACTGTTTTAGGTGTGTTAGTGGGAGTTAGATTTGTATAGATTTTGTTGATTTTAAAAATTAAAAGAGTTGTATAGATTTTTGTATATTTTGATAATGATTCTAAGAATTAAGTATATAGGTAGTATTCTCAAAATCTTGTGTTGTGAGTTAAATGGTGAAGAATACAACCCCAATAACACCAATTGTAGATATAAAGAATCATTAAAATCAATTTTTTTTTGAATAACAAAATTATTAAATCATCACACTAGATTTTAGATTTTAATGAGAACTAGATCTTGACCGTGTGGGTGTTAATTTTACTTTTTATATTTCACAGTTATAGTCATTCATAAGTTTTAGTCGTTCATAAATTATATTTGTTGATGTAATGTGTTACTGATGGTTAAACAAAAAAGTGGTATGTTAAATAAGTCATTTGTTATTTGCTATATTTTTATAAAACCTACCATTTTCAATATTTTTTTTATAAAGTATACAATTTAATTTGGATTATTTGTGTATGTTAATACATACATATATATATATATGTATATATATATTTCTAAATGTTTATTAATACATATATGCTAATAAAAACATTAGTTATCATAGTTTTGGATTTGATATATTTTTCATTTATATAGTAATTTATTTTATATCTTGTTATAACACTTGTAACAATGGTGCTAAAAATATAAAAAGGGTCTATCTATTTATGATTTTCAATTTTTACAACCAATATAATATTATTGATCCAGATAAGCATAATATTCCCTGTAAAAATCTACAAACCAATAACACTAGATTTTTGAAATTCTAACAATCACTTTTTTGACATAATGTTGATAAATCTGTGAATTTTCATTGTGTGGATAGGTATGGGAGCTGCTTATGGAACAGCAAAGAGTGGTGTTGGTGTAGCTTCTATGGGAGTGATGAGGCCCGAGTTGGTGATGAAGTCCATTGTCCCTGTTGTTATGGCTGGTGTGTTGGGTATTTACGGTTTGATTATTGCTGTTATCATCAGTACCGGGATTAACCCCAAGGCTAAGTCTTACTACCTCTTCGATGGATACGCTCACCTCTCCTCCGGTCTTGCTTGTGGTCTTGCTGGTCTTTCTGCTGGTATGGCCATTGGTATTGTCGGTGATGCTGGTGTCAGGTTTGTTGTTCCCTCCTCGTACAAGTTACAGAACTTAACAAATGAATGTGTATATAACTTGTTTCTTTTGCAATATTATGTTTCAGGGCAAATGCTCAGCAGCCTAAGCTCTTTGTTGGGATGATTCTTATCCTTATCTTCGCAGAAGCGCTTGCTCTTTACGGCCTTATTGTTGGAATCATCCTCTCCTCAAGAGCTGGCCAGTCCAGAGCAGAATGAGAATGTAACCCACAAGGTTTGCGCCAGAAGGTATTTCCTTTACTTTCTGTGTGCGTTTTGTTTTATTGTTCTTTAGTATGATGTATCATCGGGAACCAAAAATTTATTGGACACTTGGAACTTTGTTTCGGAAGGTCTCCTATATCTCTCTATTGTTTGGCTGTGTAATAAAGAGCTCTGATGGAGCTTGGTATGTTTTTGTATTCTTGTATTGTCTTGAGGAAGTTAAATACATTTATTTTGTAAAGAAGTTTGCTTTCTTGAACCATCTCGAGTCTCTTTTGCAACTAGTCTGCGATGTTTCTTGCGTTTCTGTGGAGTTTGTGTTCCAGTGTTGTGTTTTTTTTAAGAAAGTATTTGACAGTGAATATTCTTCATTCATGCTGAAAGTTTTTGTGCCAAAAGGTTTAAAGAACAAAGAAGTATAGAAAAGGATCTCTTTATTAACAATTACTTAATGAGGTACAATAGACAAATGTAAAGTTAATATAAATATAAATAATATTGTATAGATTGTTTTTATTCATACTAGGCAAGGCAAGGAATACGTGTGACATCGCACGTAGAGATATTTAATAAAAATAAATATATCATATTGTATAATTTCTATTTTTATAAAAATATTATTTATCTTCTTTTAAATGAAAATTTTATAACATGTGTACAATGTAGATTATAATATATATCTTATTATTATTTTGTAAGTTATTTGAAATTATAAATATAGTTTAGTATAGTTAAAACTAATTAAAAAGATCAAACACGTTTAAACTAAACTAATAAGGTAAATTATAATGATGAATATGACATTCATAACTTATTTGAAGTCATGTATAAAATATATTGATAGTATAACATGGCAAAGTTAAGAGATCTACTCCACTAACGTGTTCTTGTTGGTAAATTACACATATATTTTTTTCTCATAATTTGTATCTTCTATAAAATAATATTTTATCTATATCAGTGTTGAACGCCGATGTGCAACTATGAATCTCTATTTGCTAAAGAAATTTTGATAATTCAAGGATCAAAACTCTTTAATATTCATCGTATATTATTATTGGATGTATCTATGCATAAATACAAAAAAATCATATTTTTCTAATTTATTTTAAATATATGGGTTAATCCCTAATAGATTGAGTTTTTTCGATAAATACTATTTATACTTAAGTTTAGTATCTTTAGCGTTGTTTAAAATATGTAACCACATTATATTTTTATACTAATGTATCCAAAATTTATTTTTAGTGTACATGGATATCAGATATAATTTTCCAACGAATAATTTAATACAATTTCTAATTTTCCAACCACACTTTAAATTTATATTCATGTATGCTAAAAATATTTACATGGTACATGAACATCATTTCTAATTTTCCCATGAGTAATTGTTTTTTTTTTAAATTCAAATACATCCTAATTAGTGTACTAACCCCGTTAAAATTTTAATTTCTAGAAAAACGAAAACACCTACTGTATTAAAACTCTTTAATATTCATATTATGTCATTGCATGATGCATCAATTCATTAAAACAAAACATCATATTTGCATTATGAACTGACATAGTATGAAGATTAAAGAGGTTTGAAACCTTTTATCTTCCCATTTCTATAGAAAATAAAAAATTTATAAGGGTTATGACACTAATTAGATCGTATATGATATTTAAATAAATTATTCATTGGAATATTAGAAATAATGACCTTGTTTCATGAAAATATGTTAGCCTACATTAATATACATTGAGAGTGTGGTTTGATATTTTTAAACAACACTAAAAGGTTTTAAATTATAGACAGCATTTTTAAGAAAATTCATTTTTTTCCAAAGGGGTTAACGCACATATTTAAAAAAAAATTAGAAATTTTTTTATTTTTGTTTAATACATATTTTCATTATGAAATGATAGAGTATGAAATTTAAAGAAGTTTGAGATCTTTTGTCTTCCCATTTCTATAGAAATTCAAATAATTATAGGGGTTATGACACTAATTAGATAATATATGATATTTAAATAAATTATTCATTGGAATATTAGAAATAATGACATTTTTCATGAAAATATGTTTATAATACGCTAATATATATTGAGAGTGTGGTTTGTTATTTTTAAACAACACTACATGTTTTAAATTATAGATAGCATTTTTCAGAAATTTTTTTTTTCCAAAGAACCCACATATTTAAAGAAAAATTAGAAAATTTTTTATTTTTGTTTTAATACATATTTGCATCCTAAACTGAGATAGTATGAAGACTAAAGTTGTTTGAAACCTTTTGTCTTCCCATTTCTCTAGGACACTAATAAGATCTTATATGAAGTTTAAATAAATTATCTGTTGAAAAGTTAGAAATTATGTTTAGACTACATTAATATACAATGAGAGTCTGGTTTGATATTTTTAAACAACACTTAAGTGTCTAAAAATATATTTAGCATCTATCAGAAAATTCAATTTTTCAAAGGGATTAACCCACATATTTAAAGAAAAATTAGAATTTTTTTAATTTTTGTTTTAATGCATATTTTCATCATTAACTGACATAGTATAAAGATTAAAGAGATTTGAGACCATATATGTTCTCATTTCTATAAAAATTAAAGATTTTATAGGGGTTATGACACTAATTAGATCGTATATGATATTTAAATAAATTATTCATTGGAATATTAGAAATAATGACCTTGTTTCATGAAAATATGTTTAGCCTACATTAATATACATTGAGAGTGTGATTTAATATTTTTAAACAACACTAAAATGTTTTAAATTATAGATAGCATTTTTCAGAAAATTTATTTTTCCCAAAGGGGGTTAACCCACATATTTAAATAAATTATTTTAATGCATATTTGCATCATTAAATGACATAGTATAAAGATTAAAGAGATTTGAGACCATATGTGTTCTCATTTCTATAAAAATTAAAGATTTTATAGGGGTTATGACACTAATTAGATCGTATATGATATTTAAATAAATTATTCATCGGAATATTGGAAATAATGACCTTGTTTCATGAAAATATGTTTAGCCTACATTAATATACATTGATAGTGTGGTTTGGTATTTTTAAACAGCACTAAAGTGTTTTAAATTATAGATAGCATTTTTTAGAAAATTTTTTTTTTTTCAAAGGGGTTAACACACATATTTAAAGAAAAATTAGTAAAAAAAGTTATTTTTGTTTAATATATATTTGCATTATTAACTGACATAGTATAAAGATTAAAGAGGTTTGAGATCTTTTGTCTTCCCATTTCTATAGAAATTAAAAACATTATAGGGATTATGACGCTAATTAGATAGTATATGATATTTAAATAAATTATTAATTGGAATATTGGAAATAATGACCCTTTTTCAAGAAAATATGTTTATTCTACATTAATTTACATTGAGATTGTGGTTTGTTATTTTTAATCAACACTAACATGTTTTAAATTATAGATAGCATTTTTCAGAAAATCCATTTTTTCGAAAGGGGTTAACCCACATATTTAAAGAAAACTTAGAATTTTTTTTTATTTTTGTTTCAATACATATTTGGATCATGAAATGAGATAGTATGAATATTAAAGTGGTTTGAAACCTTTTGTCATCCCATTTCTCTAGAAATATAGTTTTTATAGGGGTTAGGACACTAATAAGATCGTATATGAAGTTTAAATAAATTATCTATTGAAAAGTTAGAAATTATGTTTAGATTACATTAATATACAATGAGAGTGTGGTTTGGTATTTTTATACAACACTAAAGTGTTTAAAAATATATTTAGCATTTATCGGAATATTCAATTTTTCAAAGGGATTAACCGACATATTTCAAGAAAAATTAGAATTTTTTTATTTTAATGCATATATGCATCATTAACTGAAATATAATAAATATTAAAGAGATTTGGGACCATACGTGTTCTCATTTCTATAAAAATTAAAGATTTTATAGGGGTTATGACACTAATTAGATCGTATATGATATTTAAATAAGTTATTCATTGGAATATTAGAAATAATGACCTTGTTTCATGAAAATATGTTTAGCCTACATTATTATACATTGAGAGTGTGGTTTTTTTATTTTTAAACAACACTAACATGTTTTAAATGATAGATAGCATTTTTCAGAAATTTCATTTTTTCCAAAGGAGTTAACCCACATATTTAAAGAAAAATTAGGAAATTTTTAATTTTTGTTTTAATACATATTTGCATCATGAACTGAGACAGTATGAAGATTAAAGTGGTTTGAAACCTTTTGACTTCCCATTTCTCTAGAGAATTAGTTTTTATAGGGGTTAGGACACTAATAAGATCGTATATGAAGTTTAAATAAATTATCTGTTGAAAAGTTAGAAATTATGTTTAGACTACATTAATATACAATGAGAGTGTTGTTTGGTATTTTGAAACAACTCTAAAGTGTCTAAAAATATATTTAGCATTTATCGGAAAATTCAATTTTTAAAAGGGATTAACCCACATATTTCAAGAAAAATTAGAATTTATTTTTTATTTTTTAATGCATATTTGCATCATTAAATGACATAGTATAAGATTAAAGAGATTTGAGACCATATGTGTTCTCATTTCTATAAAATTTAAATATTTTATAGGGGTTATGACACTAATTAGATCGTATATGATATTTAAATAAATTATTCATCGGAATATTAGAAATAATAACCTTTTTCATGAAAATATGTTTAGCCTACATTAATATACATTCAGAGTGTGGTTTGGTATTTTTAAACAACACTAAAATGTTTTAAATTATAGATAGCATTTTTCAGAAAATTCATTTTTTTTTCAAAAAGGTTAACCCATAAATTTAAATAAAAAATTGAAAATTTTTTATTTTTGATTTATTACATATTTGCATCATGAACTGACATAGTATGCAGATTAAAGAAGTTTCAGACCTTTTGTCTTCCCATTTATCTAAAAAATTAGATTTTATAGGGGTTAGGACACTAATTAGATCGTAGATGATATTTAAATAAATTATTCATTGCAATATTATTAACAATGACCTTGTTTCATGAAAATATGTTTAGCCTACATTAATATACATTGAGAGTGTGGTTTAGTATTCTTAAACAACACTAAAGTGTTTTAAGTTATAGATAGCATTTTTCATAAAATTCTTTTTTTTTCCAAAGGCGTTAACCCACATATATAAAGAAAAATTGGAATTTTTTTTATTTTTGTTTAATACATATTTGCATTATGAACTGAAATAGTAGGAAGATTAAAGAGGTTTGAGATCTTTTCTCTTCCCATTTCTATAGAAATTAAAAACATTTATAGGGGTTATGACACTAATTAGATAGTATATATGATATTT